CTTCAAAGGAGAATTATCCAACCATGCATGTTTCCAGAATTTGACACAATTTCCAGAACAAGGATTATACTTGACAAATGGGAAGGATGGTAAAAYTGCATTGATGAACTTCCAGGGAGAAGCTTTAGAGGCCCTAGCCAAAATCCAGGAATCCCAGCCATCAAGCGCAAGCCCATGAATACTGATGATAACTTTTGTCCACAACTTGTTTCTATCCTTAGGTAATCTCTACAACCATTTCCCTAACTGATGTAGGACTAGCTCAGTTCTAGTCCTTAGAGAATGTTGAATGGTCTTCTTTGATTAGAATTTTATGGTTGTTGATGGCTACAATGGCTTTTTGAAGGAATAAGAGAGAAAATACCTGGAATCACTCACAGGGAGCTTGGAATCACTCTAGGGCTTTGCAATCACTCACCATAGTTAGCTTAAGCTGAAGAAAACTTAATAAACTTCATTACTTTTTGTGTAAAACGTCCATACATATTTATAGACTCTAAACCAAGGTTCAAAGAACTCTTTTTTTTTTTTTTTTTTTTTCAAATCTGGTTCGTAGGGGCCGGTTTAAGGCCAGTCTTCCCCCTGAACCACCTACCGACTCGAAACACCCCCTGTAGGGACGTATTGGGAAGGCTCCGATGTGATACGTATCAGCTGATATGGGCTGATACGTATCAATACTTTGAACCTTGCTCTAAACTCATAATGAACCTAGGAGTCAAACTGTTACACTCATAATAGTCCTAGGAGTCAAATTGTTAGACTCAATAATCCTAGTAGAACTCGAACTAAGCTGTCATATTCTATTTCAATTCAAAGAAGGCTCAATAACTCTAACCCTAGTTATGCAATGACTCTGAAATTTTAAACATAAACAAACTATAAATAGACAATCAAACCTTATTATTGGACCCTACAGAAAATTTGTAAAATGACAAAAATACCCTTGGTGTCCAATTCAGTCCAAATCCCAAGTACTATCACTATGCCATATCAGGACCCTGTTGTAAGGCCTTCTTCTTTCTAGAATAAGTTTTCAGGGGTGCTGATCAATTCCTATCACTAACAAAGCAACATTCCTCTCTTGGATATTCCCTAACCCTAATCCACCAAACTTCTTGCTTCTGCTAACCACTTCCCACCTTACTCTATGGTCCTTCTCCTCACTTGGCTCCCAAGGAACGTTTCTCAACTGAGAGCATCTGATTTTGGCATTTTTAATAGAATTGCTTGCTTATTGTTGCTGATTTAATGACATTTTAAATCTCTTAGAACCTTTTTATTATCTCAGAAACCTGTCTCATTGTGATGGATTTTTTTTTTTCAAAATTTTATTGGATAAATGTGTGGGCAGTAAAGCAAAGTCGGTGCTCCCAAAGTGACCCAGATCTGCTTTATATATATCATAATAATAGATTCCTACACCTGCACCATGTCAACCCAGAAGGAAAGAAAACCACATAATTTTGCTTGTATGTACTCATTGTATTTTGTAAATCTCTTGGAATTTTCACACTGAGGTAATATCATGTTTAACTTTATCCTCATAACTCAAGTTGAAATAAATGTACCTTCTATGTCACTTACCCTTCTTTTTTTGTATTGCAGCCTTCTGTTAGAAATCAGCACAGTGCAGGCTACAAACACAAGGTAGTATATTTACTGTAAACATGACAAAGAAAACCTTTTTATTGCTGACATTCTCTATGCCACCTCAGGCAAATGTGCGTTCCTATTATCAGCAATTTGAGGAGCAACAAACACAAAGTCTGATTGACCAGAGGATCAAGGAGCATCTTGGGCAGACTGCTGCATTCCAGCAAGTTGGTGCAGCATACAATCAACATCTTGCTTCTTTCCAAGCAAATCCTCAAAGACCCCGTCTTCCTATTCTGCCAACACCTATTTTGCCAACTGGAGCTCCACAGGTACCTGGGACATCATCTTTGGTTCCAGGAATCAGGCCCCCTGTTTTACCTAGACCTGTTGCTGGTGCTCCAGGTAAATCAAAACTTCTTTAGATCTCTTTACTGCTTCATTGACTAGTGTTTCAAATTCCAAATTAGGTTGTGGCTTCCATGGTTAATGAGAGTATGGAACATTCACTAACATAGAAACTGCTGCATCAACAAGTGCCTAATCTAGGGGATGCTTGGTATCATTGTGCATATCTCATCCTTTTATTTCATTAATAAAACACTTGTTACTAATCAGAAAAAAAGAATTGATGTTCACTTGAAAATGAAGGCTTTAGCATCTCTTATATGATGGTATTAGATCAAGAGACCATAGAAATAAACCCGAGGATCACCGATCACCATCAACCTGCACATTCTCAAAGTTCAGAACGAATGTCATTTTAAGACCCTTTAAGATAGTGTCAAATTATCTATTTGGCATTGACATCCATTGGACAAGATGTTCATCCTTAAGGCCTTGGTAATTAGCTTATTTGAATTGTGCAAGTTTCCATGGGCATTACCTGGCCTGCAGCACAAATTGGTAATAGTGAAAGTTAACCCTCCATTACCAATTCTTTGAGACCAAGGAAGAGGATGGCCCAGGATGTTAAAGAAGGGCGAGTGTTCTGTTTTGATACTTTGTCTCCAATAGGACCATCAACAAGAGGTGGTTAAAATATTCTTATTTTTTTTTTTACCTTTTATGAAGAAGGTAAAATATAGAACTCATTAATGACCAAAGCAAAATGATGTACAACAACAAGCAGTACACAGGGAATATAAAACCTTCTGCCCCTACAGGATTAATTTGCCATACCCTGTTTCTTTACAAAAAGGTTCTCATAGACAAAAAAATGTATTGGGATTTTAATCTTTGAATAGATAACCATGAAAACATCATTTCCACAATCCTCTGAAATATATGGAGAATTTGGGTTGCTCCCTTTTTCTTGAATATCCTTTTTTGTTTCCTGCCAAATGCACCAAAATACCACTGCAGGTATCATATTCCAAGCCAACCTCCCCCTTACACTAAACCTTGAGGCCACCAGCCTTTTAAAAACTCCAGTACTCCCACTACTGATTCCAGGCAGCAACTGCAAACTGAGAACAATTCCGAGATCTTGGACCATACCTCCATGGTGAAGTCACTGTGTAGAAATAAGTGGCTTATAGATTCTGCATGGTTCTCACACAGACAAGTTAGGGGAACCCACCATCATACCCTTCCACACACACATACACACACACACACAAAGCAAAAAAAAAAAAAAAAAAAAGAAAAAAAGAACAACCTTGCACCAAATTATCTTGGCAGGGATATATTAATCCTCTGATCTTGCTAGAAATTTGGAGAAAGATTTCATTTAAAAGCTGTGTTTTTAATTTTTCACTTTCAATGAATATAATTTTGTTGCTTATCGAAAACAGTTGTCTATGAGTTATTTTAACCTCAATGCAAAATTGGAAAATTATCTCAAGTCTGTCATTCAACTTGTGACTTAAATTTAAGGTATCGGGCCAGCTTCAGCTGGGCCGTCCTTGCTTGTGTCTGCTGCTTCCTTGGTTGAACCTCCCTTGATAGCTACAGATGAGGGTTGAGTGAGTCTCTTGGGCATTTGAGAATTGAGGCCTAGTAAGAAGGGTTAATATCTCTACTTTAGTTGAACTGGTATCCTCTATGGGCTATTAAAGACCCTCCAGATGCTCCCACAAGGTCTATTTACTCTGCTTGGGGTTCAAGAGCTGCCATCCTTTTTCCGTTTGATTGATAGTGTGTTAATTTGTAACTATATTTGAGTCCTTTAATTTTTTTTTATCTATTTTTGGTTGCAGTTGGTTTAGTTAATTTCACTAGGCTTAAAAGTCTGTATTTAACAATTCAAGTTAGTTTGAGTACCTGTATGAATTCTCTCTGATTTTATTCAGTTTACAGCAATTAGAAAATATTTTGTCAGTTTTGAGTTGGATATAGTGTATTAAGTATAGTCCTTGTATTTGGAACTTTTTTTTTTGTTTGAATAAGCAAGTTATACTTTAATAAATTATGTTTTGGAGATTGCTGCAGGCATCTATTGTCTGTTAGTGCTCTCCCTCCCTCCCTCCCTCCCTCCCTCCCTCTCTCTCTCTCTCTCTCTCTCAATAATTTGTTCAGTTCTGTATAACAGCTATTGTTCTTTCTTTTCTTCACTTTATTCTGATTTCATATTCCTGAAATCTCTCTTCATCATTGCCATCATGTGGTGTAGCTATCTGTATTTCATCTTTTTTTTTTTTTTTTTATAGGAAACGGTAACTTTCATTAGAGAATTGAAAAGATTACAGACTCACCACCCACAAAATGGATGAAAAAACAAAAAAAAAAAAAAACAAAAAAGCTTACAAATAAGCCCAAAACAAAGCCTCCCTAGTAACTCATTGCTTAGCTAAAGTGTCAGCCATTCCATTTGCTGACCTTCTTACCCATTTAAAATGCACCCCAATCTCCCTTGCTAAGCTAATAATCTCTCTCAGAGGCTGTCTAAGAGACCAAATTCCCAAGTTTCTAGATTGCATCCACCCTATTACCAACTTGGAGTCTCCTTCCACTACTAATTGCTACATTCCCCATTTTGTTTCGCTTGTCTCAAACCTTGAAGTAAGGCCATTACTTCTGCCCTTAATGAATCTCCCACCCCAATTGGGCCTGAGTAAAGGGCCAATACTTTTCCTTCCTCATTTCTGAACACGCTCCCAACTCCCGACTGACCTGGATTACTTAAGGAGCTTCCATCAAATTTTAGCTTCACCCTGACCTGAGGCGGTGGTACCCAACTTTCTTGTATCATAGGAGAGGAAGGAGAGGATACGGCTATAGTACTCCAATTTCTAATTAAGCCAGCTGAGGAGAAGTCCTTGAAGAGATGATGTACTTTCAGCCAATGCATAACCTTGATGGTGACAACCTCAACAAGTGCTTCCTTGGCATTATGAATCCTGAATTGCGATGTTCTGCTGCACATTATTGGGTTGCTGTCATTGTCTACAGCTGCCTCCCCTTGGAAAGCCATTCATGATTTGCTTCCGGTTTTTTCCCCTTGGATAAGGTATGATTTGAACTCTGGTAATCTCATAAAATTCTGGGAGCAGCCTTGGGTTGGGGACTCATCTCTGATGGATCAATTTCCCTCCTTATATGCCTTGTCAGATCTGAAGAATGAACCCATTTCTTCCTTCTTAGTCCCTTCTGATTCTAATTCCGGCTTTGGATGGAATCTAGGGTTGGGGAGAACAATAAGGGATACAGATTTGGTCTGCCTGTCGCTCTTACTAGCCACCCTTGAAAATGTTTTCTTGGACCCGAGTAAGGATGACTCTAGAATTTGGACCTCATCCTCCAATGGTTCCTTTTCCTGTGTGTCGTTTTTTGAGAGTTTGGTCCATCCTCCTACTCTCTTTAGCCTTTCCTTCCCTGTTAATGAGATTTGGAGTAAACCCATTCCTCCTCGGATTGACAGTTTTTGTTGGTAAACTTACCTGGAAAGATTAAACACAATTGACTTGCTTCAAAGAAAGAGACCTAATTCTTGTTTACTTCCCAATAGGTGTGTTCTTTGTAAAGCTAATGGGGAAACGACTTACCACCTTATGGTTACTTGTCCAGTTACTAAAACTATTTGGGAGTGGGCTTCATCCCTGTTTGGATGTACTTGGAATCCCCCCGTGAGTTTGCAAATCTTGTTCTCTCCTTTGTTCTCAAGATGGCCTAATAAAAGAGGGAAGATCATGTGGAGAAGCATTAGGGCGGCTGTGTGCTGGTCCATATGGGAAGAGAGGAACTCTAGAATTTTTTCAGACAAGGAAAGATCTATGGAGAACTTAACTGAATTGATACACGTAAGGGTTAGCCACTGGCTGAAATCTTTGGAGCTTTTTCAGATTTCTCCATGGCTGATCTTTTGAGAAAGTGGAAAGAAATTGCTACCTCGGCTTAGTGCAAAATGACCTCTAGACCTTCTTGGTCCCCCCTCCTTCAGGATTCATGAAACTGAATTTTAATGGTTGTTTAAGGAATCCTGGGCTTTCTGGGATTGGGGGAGTTTTCAGGAATGAGGCTGAGATTATTAATGCTATGTTCTCTGGCCCTATTGGAGAGGGTGACTCTCTTAGGGCAGAGATTTTAGCAGCTCTGGAAGGAATCAAAGGAGCTAGAGAATTAAACATTAGGTGCTTGGTCATTGAAGGGGACTCGAAGGTGGTAATTAGGTGGTTGAAGGAAGACAGCAGTGATTTGTGGAGCTACAAAAATGAAAAGAAAAAATTTAAATGGCTGAGTAGGGATATTGGGGTGAAGTACAGCTGGGTGAAGAGAAGTGCTAATTCCATGGCAGATGGGTTAGCCAAGCAAGGGGTGCTTAAGGCTTCTTTGTTTTGGGCTATTTTTTAGCTTTCTTTCTTGTTCTCTGTTGTGGGGGAGTTAAGATATTTTACCTCCCCTTTCTTGTACTTAAAGTTTCACAATTTTCATAATCTAATAAAGCATTCTGTTATTGATAAGAAAAAAAAGTTAAAAATGATGTACAACATGGATTCCCCTCCCTCTCCAACTGTTTGCAAGTCTGTAAAGATGGTCATAGGTCAAATGGCCCAAAAACTAGGTTGACCTAATGATTCGTGCCATATATAAAATATTATACATATTATAACTGTAGAAGTTGGTGGTTGGATGGGTGCTTTTCTTGTTTTTATACGGGTAACTGAGGTTTGAGTCATGTGATCCACCACATTTTTTCATTAAAATATATGCTTATTAAGTCAACATTTTTTTGAGAGAAAAGTACACAAATAATGTTGAATGGTAGGTTACATATCTAGTCCTCTCATGGCTATTTTGTAACTACAATAAAGCAGTAGCCTGGGTGGGTAAGTGGGTTGTTGAAAATTGTTTGGGTTGCTAAAACTCAGATGGTTTTCAATGGTTCTATTGAGTTGAGGGTGAGTCATCTGGTTTTAAAAATGTTTGAATATTGGGTTTATAAAACTGGAAAGGTCATTGGGTTCTTTTTTGAAGGGTCCAACTATCGAATCCGTTCTAAGTCTGACAACATTGAATACAAGGATACTCCTCTAAATGGTTCCAGCCTCAAAAACCATTGTGGATTTAAGGCAAAGAATGCAAAGAAAAATGTGGACTTACATTAATTTGAAGAGTCCTAACATCAAGATATGTGATGACTTCGAGAACACATCACAAATCTTAAACTTAGATTTGCCGAGTTATTGTGGTATTTTGATGAATTCCTAATAATAAAATAAATTCTAATATAAGTAGACGAATTACTAGAAAAACAAATCTAAAAGCCAAAGAATCGAAAAAAGGGAAGTCAATATTTCCATTTATCAAAAAAGAGTGAAACTCCAATAACCAAATTAAGATTCTTGTCTAGGCTTGTACATTGGTTTTTTTTACCTAATTTTCTGAAATCATGCACTTCACTGTTATTTTTACTCAACTTGGATATGCAGGCAAAAGCTTTCTAATGTCTAATAATTATGAAGCTTGTTCATGTTTGGACATAGAAAACTAATGCCAAAAAATTCATTTTGATTTAACAAATCATCTTTCCTCATCTTTTTTCTTCATACCTCTTGCATTAGTGATTAGTCCTTGATTTTCTCCTGAGGATTGTTTCAGTTTATGTACCATATATTGATAAACCATTTGGTTGGTACTTGTGCACAAAGAATGCACTTGTTGCTGTTTTTATGTTGATGATAATGGATTGCATTACCTTATGTGTTGGCTTTTGTAGGTTATGCAGCTGCTCCATCTATGCCATCAGTATTTGGCCCATCTGGTACACCTTTGCCTATGCAAGTTAATGGATTGCCAAGGCCTCCGACAATTAATTCTCCAACAACTGTTCCTGGGGGCACAGCAGCTCCAACTTCTAATGGTGCACCTTCTATGGTTACACCAGTGATGTATCAAGCAAACCCAACCACTGCAACAAGTGGAGGTTTTGATAGCTTTAATACCACTGCTGCTTCAGGTCTACTAAGGCCAAGTCCAAGTGGAAATTCTGCTCCTTCCTCTACTGCTTCACAAGATGGTTTTACTTACGCTCAAAATGCCGAGGCCAGTAATTAGTATGGTCAATGGATATATCTTTTAAATCCCCATCCCCCTCCATCTACTACCTCCACTTTTTAGGTAGATGTTCATGTTTTTCAATGTTTTGGTTGTACATTTAGAGGGATTGGAAAACAAGTGTTACATTACTTCGAGAAATAATATAAAACACAAAAGATTTCTCATAACCCTCTCTTGGTAAAACTTCATTCTTCTTTTGTAAGTTTGGTTGGAATTGCATTACTTTAAGCTAAAACAAAGTGAAACATGAAGGATACATCATTGATATTTGTCCTTTTTGATCAATAATAATGAGAGGGTATTGTTAAACATCAAGAAGCAAGAGGAAGTCAGGTATTCCCAAAGGGGATCCTTTTACACGTCTCAGAGAGACGACTAGAAAACAAATCCAGAAGTGAACGCAATTAACTCATTGATGAAGATCCCAGTGCAATAAAGATCTTTCGACCCTCCCTTGGCAAGGTTGTTAAGGGATAAGGTGACTTGGTGATCCCTCTGATAATATGTTCATCCAAACATCAAAATTTTCACATCTAAAAGAGTGTTAAACCTGCGAGGTCCAATAAAGCCTTCCCATGTCTAATCCATAGATGAAGTGAACGCTATTAACTCATTGAGAAGAAAAGAGGAGAAGAGAGTGAGAAGGGAAAATTCCTCTTTTACAAGAGAAGAGATTCAAGCTTCTTGCTATGTGAACAAGAGCACATTCAATCAACCATTGTGGCTGTTGTTTTACACTTATTCCATCAAGCATTTGGTGGGTGTCTTGGCACTTCAACAATGGTTTTAGAGAGAGTTTAGACAGTTTGTTTGGTGAAATCTTTCTCATGTTTTGTTGATTGAAACACTTGTTTAATGACTGTTGTTGTATATTCAAGAGGTTCTTGTCTCTTGAAGTTGATATCCTCTAGTTGGAATTAGAGAAGTTGTAACCCATTATTCTTGTTGGTAGTGGAATATTTCTGAGTTAGTGTCCCGCAGTTTTTACTCTTTACATTGGAGAGGTTTTCCATGTTAAAAATTCTAGTGTGCTATTCCTCTTGTGGTGTTTGGTTATTTTTCCCATTGGCTATTACTTGTTGTTTCTCCTTTGATAATTACATTGCTGACTTGTACATTGTTAACAAGGGGTTTTATTCCCAACAAAGTGGTATCAGAGCTTTGGTTGAAGTAATTTTGGGTGCCTAAATCATGGATGTTGGTACACGTCCTATGGTTATGCTGAATAGGAAAAACTAGACCATTTGGAAACCAAGAATGGAAGACTTGTTGTATTGTAGGGACTTGTATGGACCTATTGAAGGAGAAGAAGCCAAACCGGAAGGGATGTCCACTGAGGAATGGAAAAAAATTGACAGAAAAGCTAGAGGGATGATTAGACAATGGATAGAAAATAGTGTCTTCCACCATGTTTCTGCGGAAACTTCAACACACTTTCTTTGGAAAAAGTTAGAAAGTTTGTATGAGAGAAAAACAACGGGAAACAAAGCTTTCTTTATTAGAAAGTTTGTGAACTTGAAGTTCAAGGAAGGTATATCAATTGCGGAGCATTTAAATGAAATGCAAAGCATTGTAAATCAACTCTTCTCCATGAAAATGGTGTTAGATGATGAACTACAATCCTTGTTATTTAGTTCTTTGCTGGATAGTTGTGAGACATTGGTGTCTTTAAGTAACTCCTCACTGATGGTTTGTAACCACCAACATAGATTTTCTTTTCTTTTTTTTTTTTTTGAAAAATGAAAATGAACGACATGGAGTTCGATTATTTTTTATGCTATGTTACATCAACTTTTGTGCCATAGGCTCATGCAAGTGACGTGCCAAGGTTCTGTCCCTACTGTGATGGGTAAGGTAATTATTCCTTCCAATCTTATAGCTGCTTCGGAGAATCCGACTAAAGGCACGTCGATGGGTTGTAGTTGGTCAGTCGTCAGCTGCATTTTCTCGAATGCCTCATAGAACATGACGTCGACTGAAGAACTGTTGTCCATGAGGGTTCTTCTTACTTCGTAGTTGGCAATTACCATCAAAACCACCAGTGCGTCGTCGTGGGGTATAGACACCCCCTCTGAGGTCGTCATCCGAAAATGAGGTGAGCTCCTCTGGTCTCTGTTTCTTTGGTATCCTATGCTCAATGTTCATTTGTCGAGCATAGGCTTTTTTGGCCAAGGCAGTCTCTCCCCTGAAAGCTGATCCACCAGCTATGACTTCAATGGCCCCAAACAATGTGCGGCTAGGTTGGGGGTCGGCTAGCGTAGGTGCAGACGACGATACTAGAATTTCACTGCCAATATAGTCTTTCAAATGTCCTTGTCGAATGAGGGACTCGATCTCGTTTTTGAGATCATAGCAAACTTCAGTGTTGTGGCCCATGCTACGGTGAAACTTACAATACTTCTTTGGGTTTCCCCTTATGGGATTCCTCTTTAGCTTGGTGGGCCACTTCATATACTCTTGCTTTCCTACTTGCATAAGAATATGAGTTCAGGAGGCGTTCAAGGGAGTGTACTTGTCAAAGGATGGTGCCAATGACTTCTCATTGTTCTTGTTGCTTGGGCCATCGGTTAGTCCGTCCCTGTCTTTCCTCTTCTTTATGCTGGGGCCAGTCTCTAGGTTTTGCAAGCGCTTGTTGGTCTTGGCTTCCTTAGATGCTATGTTTTTTTTTACTTTTTTGAGAAATCCTGCCTTGTTTTTAGGCGGTGTCTTGGAAATAGACTAGTTGAGGGGTTTGGGCAGAGGCCACTAATGGGGTTAAGGTATTTAAACCTCGAACTCCTCATGATTGAACCTCTTCATATAGGCTTGAAGGCTCTCCCCAGGCTTCTACTTGATGCATTAAGGAGATGACGATCTTCTAACATCGTTGGCTTTTCACAAAGTGGGCCAAGAAAAGGTCTGCGAACTGGTCCTAAGAGCTGATGGACCGAGGGGGGGGGGGGAGAATAGAGAACCATCTGTGGGCAGCTACCTTGAAAATTGTTGAGAAGGCTTGGAACATTAGGGCGTTGGAGTAACCATGGAGGAGTATTAGGGCTCAAAATCTCTCCAAGTGATCCTCCAGATCCGTGCTTCCATCATAAGTTTCAAGAGTAGGCGCTTTGAAATTAGGTGGGAGTGGCTCCGAGGTGGAGTCAGTGAAGGCCTCGATTCGGGTGGACGAGGCAGGCTAACTAGTGGAGGCATTACCTTGGCCCTCCTTCACCCGTCTTATCTCATCTTGGATGGCATTGATTTGCGCCTGGAGGTCCTGGAGACGTCAGTCAATCTGAGGCATGGGGACCTCGGCCAGTTCCCAGGATTCTCTCACCCGAGAAAGGTCTACATGGTTTCCTGAGTTTTCGGATTCAGCCTGATCCCGGGCTCTACGAATCCGGCGATCATTTAGATGGTTGAGGGTGGACACTATTGGGGGGAGAGACACGACGTCGGCCAACTCCCGATTGATGAGGGGGGCTATAGTGGCCTGAGCGCCCGTCGTCGTCCTTATTGCGGTTGGAGGCAGTGCGATCGGTGTGATGATCCTTACAGTCTTCCGAAGTGTCATGAACACGGGGGTTGTGATGGTTTCCACCTTGACTGGGTGGAAGCTGATATGTGTTGGATCGATGCTTGACGACTATTGCTACCAGACTCCGAGGGGTCTTCAAAGATGCGCTTGCGGGCTTGCTTAGGCATTGGCTCACTGTGTTGTGAGCAGATTTCCTGTCCTATTGTTCTCGGCCTCCAACAAGGCGGCCGCCATAGTTTGTCCAGTTGTTGAACCAAACTGTCAAGTTGCTGGAGCACTGCATTAAATTGTTCGTAGGTGACCAAATTTTGGGCATTGGTGACATTATCCTAATTTCAGCCATTTTCAGAAATGTTAGGTAGTTTCTTAAAGTTCCTTGTGAAAAAGGGGGAAGATGTTAAGTCGTTCCCACATAGGACACCAATTAATGCTTCCAAATATGGAATTGAGGGCAACAAAGTAATTTTCAGGGTCCAACGGCTATTGGTCCCATATGCTAAGAGTGAAAATGCGTCTGAAGCCTTGAGAGTATCCCTAGGGGCGAGGACTCCGACAATCAAGCTAGCCGGGGGCTTAGAGAAAGTTAAGGTCACTACAAGAGTGTAAGTGATAACTCAAGTATGCATGCATAGCTTTAGTTGTAGTGTCCCTTTTATAATAGGAGTCGCCTAAGTGGGGAGTATGCACAACATGTATCTGTTCTGTATATTGTGGTCACGTAAGGGGACTCAAGAGAGGCATCAGCCGACCACGACCCCCCACATTAGTGGCTCAGGAGTAAATGCACATAGGATGTGCGCCCGCATTAAGTGCTCCATAATCGCTAAGGGCTGGAATTACCCCATTGCCCTTAGGAGATTGTCCTTTGTCGAAAATACCCTAACTGATGCCACGTGTGATGGGTTGACCAAATATACCTACATCACAACCTATTTGCATTCCCATGCATTTGCATTAATGCAAATGAAATTTGCACCATAAACAAATTGAGCCTTGAAGTATAGAATTGACCTTTTTTTAGCACTTCACTTTTTCGCGGATTCTATTGTTCAAAAAAGATTCGTAGCTAAGAGAGATATTTTTCCCCACTTGTTAGTAGAATTTGTGGAATACAATTAAAGTGTATAAGAGAGGTTGTATTTTTAAGCACATGCGCGGATATAGCTATCTAGCTATCYGCATATCTCCTCTTTTATCGCAGTTTCATTCGGGACAACGGAGGTCGTGCTATATCATAATTTCTATTTTATTTATATTCAATGAAAAAAATTGAAGCACGAGAATTCCCTATAGACATCATATATAGATAAGATACCTGATTAGGTATCTGTGTAATAATACCATACCAATTTCTAAGGAAAAAATAAAAAAAGAAAGAAATGAACTCTGTTTTCTGAAATCAATGTCTTTAAAAATCAACCCAAAATCAGAACCGCACTTACCTTTAATTTCTGGGTCAATGGTTCAACCATTCAGGTTGAATGGTTCAACCCATGACATCATAAAAAATATCAAAAGTATAAAATATTTAATATAATAATAATAAATACAATATTATTTAGAGAAAAATCAGACTTTGGTCTTCAGAGAGAACCAAAGCATCTTTTTTGAATGTGGGCGTGATTATGATGTATTTCAGACTCCAAAGAGAAATCAAATAACTCGGAACTGAAGCATGTTTCTGAATCAAACTGAATCAATGTTTTGATTTTTTTTTTGAATCAAACGTTTCAGAGAGAACCCAAATCTATGTCGGGAACAAGGTATTCTTTTTGAACCAAGATCAGGTTGCTGCCCGGTTGCCGCTGCGAGTATATGCCATAGCTCAAAGATAGTGTGGTTGCAGATCATTTTGTTCGCCGCTGCCCAAGAAGGTTGCCACTAGCTACAACACCTGCGGTTTGAGACATTGAGGAAAGAGACGAGAGAAGAAGAGAGAAAGGGGAGAGAAAGAGATGCTGTTCTGATTCATTTATCTCATGTTGGTAGTATGAGATGTTAATGTGAGGTATCCCATATTGGTAGTATGGGATGCTGTTGTTGTAGGGTATATATATTATTGGGTTCCCTCCTAACATCTAGCTTTTAGGGGTGCATTTTCCTAAATCACATAACAGATGCAGAAATACCTTTTTTAATTTTTTTTTGTTTTAAGTTTTTTTTTTTTAATCAAACCATGAACTGCTGCTCAGGTTGAACGGTTTGATGGTTCAACCATCTGGATTAGTAATTTTTTGACCAAATCAATGGTTTTCTACATAAAAGCAGGTTGGACCTTAAACAAAACCAGAAACCTGAGTGATTTTCAGGCCGAACGATTCAACCGCTCGGGCTAATGTCGTTTTTAAAACCAAGGCTGAAATTTTAAAATGATAACTACTTAGCAATTGGAAATGTCACCATTTTAAGGGGGTGAGGGAGGTAATTAGCTTCAATGCAATGTAAAATCCAAACTAAATAATTAATTTCCTGGCACTGATGACAGTAGGTTGTTTGGTGTTAAAAGCTTGAAATAGCTTTATTTGCCAGCATTTACTTTCCATATACAACTGAGAAGTCACATAGAATTTTGGAGTGTGTTCTCCGTAAGTGAGTATGATAAATCTTTATCTTAATGCCGATACTTACCTTGGAATTAGACAATTTAGCTTTTGCCCTTTTCCTCCTTTTTAAAAAGACTCTCTCTTTCTCTTTTCTGCAAATGCCATTCAACTACTAAAGTAAAGAAGATCCACATTTTGACACATGGTTTTAGTTTGTCAATTTGGTTGTAATTGCTAGTTAGGTGAAACTATCAAAGCCTAGCAATTAGACAATTTAGCTGCTCTGGTGGTCATGAGAAAATTTTCTCCGTCCACATTCAACAACCTGAAAGGGCTCTTCCTGTGTCACATATTAGTTCACCCAGCGCTTCTAATTACAAGTTTGTGTAAATTTGGGTGTAATTAAGGTGCTCTTCCTTTATTTTTAGATTTGTAATTCTAAATCACTGCCTATGCTTTATATATATATATATTTATGTATGTATGTATATATTCAAAGAGAACAATCTAGTTTAGTTTGGAACAGATTTCAGATTGTATAGAACTCAAACCAGATTATTTTTTGTTGAGCTTAACCTAATTAAAAAAGTCCAAATAAAGTTCAAACATCAAATTGACTTGTTTTAAGGCAAGACCAGATCAAACTGTCAATTTCAATTTGGTTCGATTTGATTTGAAAGTCTGGGCCATATAATGAACACCCCTACATAAGACATGTTTCTTCTTCATAGCCGAGTGGAAATGGAATATAATTTTGTTTCTGCACTAATTCCACAGGATTATAAAATATTATTTTAACCCAAAATCACAGAATTATAAAATATAAATGACTAGGCCCCTTGAAATTATAGAACCATATGTGGTCTTGACTAGGGCTGTCAATAGAGTTTGAAAATTTGATGTGACCTAATATTTAGGGGTCACTGTAGCACGTGGGCAGTGCCGGGCACAACATGAAGGTATGGGCTGTTCCGGGCTTGAGTTTTCAGGCTCACAAGCTGGCACGATAGTGTGGGCCATGCTGGAATGGGCCTGTAGCCCAGATCGGCTTGACACGGCCCATATATATATATATATGAATTTTTGTTTTCAAATTCATTATAATATTTTATTCCAACTGTATTGTAGTTTTTTTTTAAGTTCATTTTATTCTTGCATATATAAACAACTGTATACATCAAAATACATATATAATAAAATTCTAAGATTTTTTTTTTAATTTGTTGTCTATTTTGTTAATTTATTTTAAAATTTTCATTTTTTTTCAAAAATTTTAAAAATATACCTCTCATGGCTTGGTCTGGTCCACAACCCTCTCTGGTCTAAAGCTTGGCCTGTGGACCAGCCCAGATAGACACCTGAAGCATCCTAGAGGTAGCAAGCATGGCCCTGGCCCAGCCCGTGGGCTGACATGGCATGAGACGCCTGCTTGTCGTGCCATGACAACCTGGCCCGGCCTGGCATACACCTTTAGGTGTAAACGGATTGGGTCCTGACCTGATCCAATTTTATTGGATTTTGATATCTTCGTTGGATTTTAGAATTGGATCGGATTGTAAAATATGATTTGTTTTGAAATCAGATTGAATTCAATCACCCCTATATATATATCGAATCAATTTCTATCATTTATCATATATCTGATTATAATCCAAATTGAATTTTAATTAGGGGTTAGATGGATATACTCCAATTCAAATCTAACCCAATCTGTTTGTATCCTACATGGCTTATGTTGTAATCAAATTAGCCCAGTTTAGGGTCTGGTATCCCTTGCAGGATCATTTTCCCTTGGGTACAATCGTTCGAATTTGTATAGAACCCATATTATTTAAAATTTAAGCCAATTATTTAAAATTCCTTTCTTATAAAATAAAAGATTAATAAAATTCAATATAAAATTTAATCCGACTTAAATCTTATTGGATTTATTGGGGTCAAATCCACATCCGATCTAATTATTATAATGGATGCAAGTTTCTTTTCGGATTTTTTTGGGAGTCAATTGACAATCCTACTACTACTACTACTACTACTACTTGTATCCAGTCTTCGAATAGACTAGAGTAGGAGTTTAAGTACAAAATAACTTGCTTAAAATAGCTTCATCCAACCAACACCATCAATAATTTATATTAATGTAAATTTCCATATTGTATATAGCTTTAATATCTATAATTTTTCTTTCTTCAGTTTTAAAGTAGGTAAAATAGATTTTTTTATTAATACTTTATTAATATAAGTTCATGACTATGATTTATGTCAAATCATTGATGATTCATTTTAACCTTAAACATAAGCTTAGAAGTCATTAAATTCGAGGACAGAGGGTGTCACATTTGTTTCTATTTATCTATGGACCATTTCAATCCATCTTTGTTTTATTAGACAAGTTCAAAAATGATACTTATCCTAATAATATTCAATTTTTTGTCATTTAAATAAGTGCTTTGGTGCTAGCAGTTTTAATATAGCCTATGGTTTTGTATCCTTTTTTATTCCATATTTTAGATTCTCTTGGTATTGAGTTTGTCTTATACTGCTAGCACCAAGCACAGATAAAGAGAGTTGTCAAGCTGCAACCAGCATTGAATCTTCTGCCAAACCCTTATAAATATAAGTCCTATATCAAATTTCTTTGTGTTCAACACTAAATGGAATAGAATTGGGGAACATGATTTATGTAGCTGATTTTTTTTTTTTTTTTGCTGAAGTTGAATCGAATAACATGATTCCATATTTTAGCCAGTGATGGCACCTATTATGTTTTTGAAAACCTGTTTGATCAACTCTGATTCATCATATTGAACAAAAATAGGTTAATCCGTAAAAGATGATTCCGATACCAATGTTATGTCGTCAAGCTGATGGGTGGTCGTGGGTGTTTGGAAGGAGTGAAGTTATAGTGATAAATCTGCTTATAAATTGTTGACTCGAAATCGGTATACCGGTATAGATGCGTGTTGGAAGTTAAAATTTTATCCTCCTATCATGATTGGAATACAATTGTGTTTTAGGGTGTCAATTTAATAAAACAGCACATCATCTTTTTGGCTCCTGTTCTTACTTACCTGCTGTTTGGTTAAGTGTGTAGGTTGGAGGTCTGGAGATTCCCCTCCAATGTCTTGGTTTCAACAAGAAATAGATGGATGAGAACTGCTGACGAGGAGTCTGTTATAGGGATGCAAATCAGCCGGGCTGAGTCACGCTTTAAGTTCAACCCAGCCCGACAACCCTAAGAATTGGTCCCAAGCCTGGACAGAGAACAAGGTGAAGTCCAATCTGTCCAACCTGGGCCCAGCCCACAAGAAATTTGATTCATTCAGGTTGGGCTCAATCAGACCACGTTTATGTATCTTTGCATGTATGTATGCAAACATGTGTCTATGTAAGTGTTCAGGGAAAAGCTTGGGCTGGGCTTGGGCTACCAAAGGGGCTGGGCCTAGGCCCAACCTTAAAAAAAGGCCTAAGCTTTTGGGCCCAAACCCATCAAAAGGATTGAAAATCTGAGCTCAGCCCTGTGGTCTGAATCGGTCTCTGCTCAGATTGGACCTGCCCAAGTAAGACCCCCTAGTTTGTTAAGCATCTGTTTGTGTTATTCACAATATTTCTGCCGATTAATTAATCCATCCTTAACATTGTAATGCTTCCACTATTAACATTTAACAATACAATAGTTTTTTTAATGTTTCTTAGGTTGGAAGGATGGTTGTTTTATTAAATTCCAGAGAAACATATATACGTGAAAACATGCAACAGTTCCAAAATGCTTGAGAATAATCAGTCTATTAACATTCTCACATTGACCAAACTGCAACCTGCTGGAGAAAAAAAAAACTTTTTTGTTTGGCTATAGTTGCTTAACTGTTCAGTATCATTCAGTACATGCTTCCCTAAGATGAATCATGGATTAACTATACATTCCCTTCATTTTTTGTTTGGCTACGAAGTTGCTTCATCCTATTCCCCCCCTCCCCCTCCTCTTTCTCTCTCTTCTGGGAGGGGGTTCTGATTTTTGGATTGTGTTTCAGACGGTGGGAACCCCCAAAAATGCTTTCCTTTTTCTTTTGATAAGCACCAAAAACATATTTTTTCTTTTCTCCGCTTTTTCTCATATGCGATCATCTCCTGTGACAATAGGATACAAATCTAGTTTGAACTCAGTTCAGCTCTGTGCTCTTGCTCTGCTTGACATATGGTCACAAGAGACTAGACTCGTTCCCAAATTCTAGCTTTAAAGCATTGATAATGCCAACAATTTTTCTCAAGAAATAATTGGATCTGGCTTATAACTCAATTGTGGAACTTGAGGGTATCTGCTTATAGGAAAGTACAGTTGTTAGGACACATTTCCAGACAATCTTTGGAAAAACACAAAAAATGTATATAAAAGAAATTACAAAAATTAGTCTTCTAAATGAGTGCTTGTGCTTCATATGCATTCCCAAAGATGAATAAATATTCGCATATGATTACTTAAATAGAAAGATCTAATTTTGCCTTATTTTCTGTTGTAAAGTAAGTGCACACTGTTCAAAGTAGAGAGTCCAGGCTAATAGGAACTATTTACTTGTCTACAGGAAAATAAACATGCCACAAAGATGACTTGGAATTACAAACCATGGAAACTATATGAAAATATGAAGCATTATTAAAAGGTATGAGAGATTGTGTTTGATCAGAGAGGATAGGTTGTAGTTGTCCAAGATATTTTGTTTTTTGGATATCTATCATGATATCATTAGTTTGAATGATATCGATACAGTGTCTCTTATGCATCAATGATGTGTGTTAATGCTGGCTACTGGGAAGCATAAATGGATGAGCTTGATCATCTACATCGTTATTTTCCTACCAGGTAAACTACCTAGTCGTTAACCTAGATTTAGGTTATACTTTTTATAGGCAGCTGCTCTGCAAAAGATGCAAGGTTGATCTTTATGAAGTTGGACATTGCTTGGGCTAGCTCCATACAGGAACTTCTTTATTTTATTTTTTAATTCTTAACATGAGGGTTGACCTTTATATGAAGTTGGGGGATTCCTTGGTCTGTTTAACTTCCTCCTATTTCTAAGAAAACTGAACATTGACGTTGTTTGAAGTATTCTAAATTATCTTCAATTATGACAGCAAGGGAAGTGTATGGATACAATTATTTGCATTATGATTATTAGTTAAAATTTTATTTTCTTTTCAATTTCTTATCATAACTTCTATTTTCAAGTTTGCCCCAGTGTTTTAACTGTCGTTGACCTGATCAGTCAGACTGGTGATCTGGTTACAATCCCATTTCAGATCAACCTCTAACCTGATGAAACCCATTTACTGGGCATATGAACCATTGATCCATTAGCTATTGAGCATGTTATCAGGATTTTATATTGCTTTATATTTTCTGAAAATTTTATATTGATGAAATCAAAGTTTGAGCTATTGACCATAATGGTTGAATTGCTGTACCTCCAAGCTGGGTTTTTTAAAACACTGGTTCCAGCATGTAGTGATGCACATTCATATTCTTATTAATCCATGATGTAGAATGATAAGCATCTATACCAGTAGATTGGGAAATCATAACTAGAAAACATTGGGATAAGCACTTTATTTTTCCAAATAAATATTGAGATGAGATGTATTGCCCATATACCTTTGAATAACTTTAAGTATTCCTGTGCCTATCTGCATTGGAATGCCCAGGATGATGCATTCACTTACTCCCTCAATCTTGTCATCCCTCCCATTTACTGAAGCATTGAAAAGATGATCTGCTGTTTTCTCAAATGATGCTAACATCAACACACTTTCTTTCATCTTTTGGATGCCAGTTCTCGTGATTCCTAGCACTTCACCCTGTTAAGAACAAACATCCAGAAAAATATATACAACATCAATCCCATCAATACATATTTACATACTATAAAGTTAAACCTGCTGGGGTTAGAGGTTGGAGTACCAATTCATGCAATACAACTCAAAAAATGTAGCTCACCTTGTATGTCATTAAATCTGCTAAGAGCATCATATGGCGTATGTCTATGTCCATTCCATGCTTTCCCATGGTGTACTGTATTTCATCTATGATGCATCTTCTAGCAGCTTCAATACCAAGTGTACCTTGAACTTCTATGATATGATTACTCGTCGTTTTACACCCATCTACTCCTGGAGTTCCCATGACTCCCAGAAGATTTGTACTGAAATTAAGCAGTGTATGCATTTAGATTCATAAACAAATAGAAGGGGTAAGGATTGCATTTTCCATCCACAAATTCATATTATGTCACCTTTTTTCTGATTAAACAATTGGCATTTTCTGTTAGGTAATCATTCACATTTTCTGATATGAGCAGGAGTACTAATTTCTAGTCAAGAGAATAATAGAAGAATGATCCCTATATCTTATCATGTTTCCAATCCATGCTGATTTAGTTTGTCACCATGTCCATCCTTTTCTTTTCCTATTCCTTCATTTCGAAAGTAACAAGAATTTGCTCATTTTCTATTGCTAGAAAATATGTTCCTGCATTTATACAAGGAAACTGACCATCATAAAAACAAACTATTTCTATTAGGACCAGCCATTTCTATTATTGACAGCATTTTTTTTCCTTTTTATGCTCAAGGAATTTCTCAAGTTCTAGCAGAGAAGGTACTGTAGAGATACTATGGGCTGACTCCTTGTAACTTATGTACAGTATCATTTATTCATTCTTTGTTTACAGTTTTTTCTTTTGTATTTAAGAAGAGTAATGGTCCGTTCTCCTTTATGTAATCCTATGATATATAATACATATCATTCAGGGCATGTGGCAAGTTCACCACACCCTTTTCAGATTCACTTGTCTCTTTTGAACCGACTCTAACATGGTATCCTAGCCAATTCAATTTTTGATCTGCTGAAGGACTTCTTTCCCACTGTTGATTGCTTCTTTTGAAGGACAATAGAAGGCTGATTCTTTATCCTGTTGTTTGGAGATAACAGCTTCCTTTTAGGGACTGTTCTGATCAGTCTTTTGTTATTTTTCTGTGCAAGAACGTGGTGGCAGATCTGTACTTCGATTCAGACCTCACTTCTGCTCATTCAGACTTCTGTGAAACCTTAGATTTGGTGTTGTCCTGATCACTTCTTCCTTTCTACACTTCTGGTTTGGTGTTTGAACCATTCCCTGTAGGGTTTCTGACTTCATCTTCCAAGTTTCTATCCTGAACTTTCCTTTTCTGGACTGTTACTCAATCTGCAGTATTTTTGGGTGTTTTTCCCTCATGAAAACTGATTTCTAAGTTGCTGGTTTATAATCTCTGGTTACTCTATATGGGTTTCCTATAAAGAGAGCATTGGTGAACAATCTTTTACTTAGGTACATGTATCAAATTCTACTATAAATTTTCTTCCTCCAAATAGACTTTGCATCTTCACTCTATAAAAGTACAAAGGTAATAAAATCTGGCTCAATAAAACCATATATGCAATAAGATCCAAACTTTTTCTGGCAATAATTTTTTTTAAGAGAATGGAAACTGGAAACTTTCATTACTCAAAAGGGGGGAGGGGATATACATGAGATGATGTAGAAGAAGGCTTTAGAAACAAAAAGAACAAACCCGATCAATCAGTAGGTAATCTGTTTGCACTATACAAATATACAAAAGAACCCTATTTTATGTTATAAAGCAGTAGATATGATCTTAAAATTTAAAAGTTCCAATATTCAAGACCAAGCATATCCATCAACAATATAAATTATTACAATGTCTATTTCACCAACTTACCCTTCTACAAGTAAGTTGTACTTTCCATCTTTGCTTTTGTTAATCACTGCACGTTGGACAGTAGATATGCCCTGTGATAAAAAGACAAAAGAGAACAAACGTATCAAATTTGGACTTGTAAGAGGTTCAATCACATGGTTGGAAACTCTTTTGCAGGATGACCTTGTTTTAGATCATAATGCCAATAACTTACAGAAGTAGATAGCATTGTAATCTCACCTTTACAATGACCTGTGGGAGCACAGCTTTAAGATTGTGCAGTTCAAAGTGTAACTTGCTTCTATCACTTTCTGTAGGTATAACTATTAACTTGTACCCCTTGTCAACCACAATCTGTAATAAAATTAACAAGTGCACAAAATGCTCAAAATATGACAATAGAAAAGGAAAATATAAGAGGTGAATGATCACAATAGTAATTCCTTACCTTTGGTTTGAATTTTGGATTCAGATGCTTTAGAATTGATTCTTTTACGCTATCAGCAGAAATCTTTAATTGTGCAGCTTCAATCCTAGCCATATCCAAACTGATCACTATTGATGCTTGTCTTTGTGTCATCACAATCTTTATACTTTTGGCAACCTGCATAGAAAAAAATCAGTCAATATCCAGGTTTTCTAGAGAGGCTGATCACTATTACATCTGCCACACTGTATGCTGATCTCTCAATCTACTTGGTTAATGTTCTGAACTCTCTAATGACACATCTTACCTCTTACATTATTATATTGATACTGGCATGTGCCCAACTTTCTATTTTAAACACTTTATCATAGTTCTTGAATCCCCTTCCAATACTATGTTCTTGTAGTTTATAGTTTTCCCCAACAACGGCCCTTGGAGTATTGGTAAAAGAAATCTCCATACCTAATTGGTCCTGACTAGAGTGCCATCATGTTCCCCGAGTGGTTTCTTAGCACCCAACCAATCCTAATTTCTAATGGATTGCCCCCTACTGTATCCATCGCAATTTAGATTTATGAAATTCTAATCTGGAGGTGTCCAATGAATCAACCTCCTTCCTTTTGTAGATTAAGATGGCACCACCCCTTGCAATGCCCCGGCTGTGTCATTAATGGAAAATGGATTGAATAATTCTCAGTTTTTTTCACCCAACCTATCACTCTAATCATGATAAGCTCAATTTCTTCCTTGGTGTCAATCTCTTCCTCAAGAATCTAGCATTTTCCTCCCCACACCATCCACAAAATTGCTACTCTTGTGCACCTCCTTAAGACCTTCCATCTTATCTTTCTGAAAGAGAAGAAAACATCATAAAATAGGCCTTATGCATCACTTAGGGAAACCCACCTACAACTAAACAGAGAGAACTTTGAATTACTAGAGACAAGAGGGTAGGAGACTAGGTAACAAGTAGTCTTACCATTTGCATTACAGAAGAAACACATATAAGGTGATAGGCACCAGTTGGTTTCTCTTTTAGGTTACCTTAAAAGTATTGAACTTCATATGGAAATCCTTCCAATGGACTTTTTTTTTTATGATAAATAACAGAACCATTAACTAAAAACACATAAAGAGTACAAGGGCCACCACCACCAGTTGAACAAGCTGTTTAAATTGTTCCCAGGACCATGGGTGCTAATGGAGGAGAATCTAGCAATACTATTAGTCTTAGAAATAACATGTACCTTTGTAGAGTTAGGCTTATTGAAGTAAAAGAGGCACTGAATACTATGAAGAGAAAGGCATTAGGACCCAATGAGATTCCAATAGAAATGTGGAAAGGTATGGGAGAAGTAGGCTTGTTATTGCTAACTAAGCTATTTAGGCTGCATTTGGCATTGCTTATTTTAAGGACTTATCTCCTTTTAGTAGTTAAAATGCTCCTATGCACACTGAAGTTTTAATAACAAAAAGGAGATAAGTCCTTAAAATAAGGAATACCAAATGCAGCCTTAATAAGATAGCCAAAGAAAAGAAGATGTTTGATGACCAGAGAAACAACAGTATGGTGCCTATATTTAAGAAGGTGATATACAAAGTTGTAATAATTATCGGGGGATTAAATTCATGAGCCACACTATGAAACTTTGGGAGAGAATAATTGAACAAAGATTATGACTTGAAATAAGTGTATTAGAGAAGCAATTTTGCTTTATGCAAGAGAGATCAATTTTGGAAGCTATATTTCTTTTAAGATGATTGATAGAAAAGTTGAGAGAAATAGTCGATCAAGACTACAATCAGTCTTGAATTCAAAAGAAAAAGAAAGAAGAAATTTCAAAAGAGAAGAAATTTCTTTGTCTCACTGATGTCCGGTCATGTGAGACAAAGATAGAGGAGTTTTCCAACTAACCGTTGGAACATAGCTTTGTCTTCAAGTGGCTCTCCACTCTTTGCACTGATCTTGTGATTATGTTCAATAGGTGTATCTGCAGACTAAACACCCAACTTTCCAGTTTCTTCCAATAGATCTAGAACATACTTCCTTTAAGAAATAAAAATCCCATGTTTAGATCTAGCTACCTCAATACCCAAGAAGTATCGTAGCTCTCCCAGATCTTTCACCTCAAACTCTTGATGAAGGAGTTGTTTAAGAGACTCAATCTCACTATTATCATTCCCTGTCACTACAATATCATCCACATATACAACAAGCAAAGTCAAGGAAGAGCCCACTCTTTTAATGAACAATGTATGGTCAGATTGGGCCTATACATAGCTGAATTTTTCAAGGGCTTGTCTGAATCTATCAAACCAAGCTCTAGGGGACTGCTTTAGTTCATACAAGGCTTTTCAACCAACAAACCTTCTTTCCTATCTCTGCATCATAAAATCCAGGAGGTAACTACATGTAGACTTCTTCCTATAAGTCTCCATTGAGGAAGGCATTTTTAACATCCATCTAGAACAAGGGCCTAGAGTAACTGGCTGCAAGGGATAACAAAACTCTAATAGTGGTCATCTTTGCTATTGGAGCAAAAGTCTCCAAGTAGTCTATACCATAAGTCTGAGTAAATCCCTTTGCAACTAACCGGGCCTTATACCTTTCAATGGAACCATTAGCATTATGTTTCACAGTAAATACCAATCTACATCCAACCGGTTTCTTTTCTTTAGGCTGATCAACTAGCTCCCAAGTATTGTTCCTTAGAAGAGCATCCATTTCAACCTTCATTGCATCTTTCCACTCAAGAACTGACAAGACTTCCTACATTGTTCTGGGAATAGGAATATCAACAATGGATGTGAGAAAGGACCTGTAAGAGGGGGGCAGGCGATCATAGGACAGGAACTGGGAAATGCAATGAGCTGTGGATGTGGTGCAATGCTGTTTGCCTTTACGGACTGCAATGGGGAGGTCAAGGTCATCCAAAGGAGGTAAAGTAGCAACAGTTGAAGGTATCTCAGTGGTACCTGGATTTGATAAAGGGACTGTGGTACCTGGATCTGGATCCGCAGAAGGAACTAAGGTTGTCTTGGACTGCTGATGACCGAAATCAACCTGCCTCCACCGCCTGTGATACTCTCAAATCCTGACACCTCTGAAAACCCTCCCCATTACATCCCTCATCACTCAATGGAACTGGTAAAGGAACTTCTGATGAGTTAACCCCACTCTCACTCCCACTCTCACTACTCTCCCCCTGAGGAGAAACCCTAGGGTAATAGGGTACCTCCTCAAAGAAGTAACACCCATCGAGACAAATCTCCCCCAAGAAGTAGGTTCATAGCAGCAATAACCCTTTTGAGTTTGTGCATAACCGAGAAAAATACATTTGGAGGCCTTAGGATCAAATTTGGAACGATGAGGTCCAAGAATCTTAACAAAGCAAGTGCAACCAAAGGTTTTAAGGGAAACAGTAAACGATTCTTTATCGGGGTATAGAAGGGTAAATGGAGTCCAAACAGCAGATAGGGTGTCTAGAGGCATGCCTTTTGTGCCCGATGAGGATGCAAAATCGGGATTAACAGCCATATGAGCATTACCCCTTTTGTTCCTCAGTTTTGTTGGAACTAGATGAGGGTGCAACTTCCAACATGTGTCTTTAGTATGCTTAGGTTTCTTGCAATGTTCACACACTAGATCCCGCTTATCTTCCTTCTTTATATCCCTCTCCATATCACCCCCAAACTTAGGTTTAACTGCTATCAAGGCTGGTGGGAAGGGCTAATGCTGCATCATAACCTTTTTCCTAGTCTCTTCACTATGCACTAAAGAGTAGGCTTGAGATAAGGTCACACTGTCCCTTGTTAGTATTTGCTGTCTCACAATATCATAGTCAGGATTCAGACCAGCTAGGAATTCAAAAACCCTATTAGTCTCAACTTGCTTTCTATGAGTCTGTGCATCCTTCTGACTTTCCCACTCAAGTGTTTCTAGGTGGTCAATTTCATGCCACAGAGATTTCAAGGTAGAGAAGTAAACCGAGACTAGTTTCTCTCCTTGCTTAAGGTTGTTAACCTCACACTTCAATTCATAAGCCCTAGCAACATTAAGGGGTTGGGAGTAAGTCTCTTTCATGACATCCCAKATTTCCTTGGCTGTTTTTGCCCACAAATGGTTCCGGCTGATATGTGGCTGCAYAGAGTTGCACAACCATGTCATAACCAAATAGTTCTCCTGAACCCATTTGGTATAAGTTTGGTCCTCCTTAGTTGGTTCTTTCACATCTCCCAACAAGTAGCTGAGTTTTCCTCTAACCCCAATGGCCATCATGGGCGATTGAGCCCATTCTAAGTAGTTTGATCCATCAAACTTCACATAATAATAAAAAAACCTTTTAAACTACTGTAATAGAAAACAACACCCAAACAACTGATAACAGCCGGCCTAGGTCTTCCAAAGAACAAAGAAAACAGAATTCTGTATGAAACCAGTTCAAAATCTGATTTGAAACCAACAACAGTTCTGAATTTTAGGGTTTTCTCTCAAAATCCTAAAGGAAAAAACACAGATTTTCCAGCCGCACCTCTCAGAATAGACCAAGATGATTTTTTCCAAGGTTATTCTCAAGAAAAAAAACTTACTTTATGAAAGAAAATATTTGGCTGCCACCTTCTGTATGATGCAAAACCCTAATCTTGAGGATCCGAAGCCTTTTCTGATTCTTCCTGACTACTGGAACTCTCCCAGCCTTCTACAATCTTCTTAGTAGCAGNTGATGCAAAACCCTAATCTTGAGGATCCGAAGCCTTTTCTGATTCTTCCTGACTACTGGAACTCTCCCAGCCTTCTACAATCTTCTTAGTAGCAGCTGCACACTACCAGTAACCTCCAAGAATCAGCCAATCCTCCTTTGTTGAAAAACTTCTAAACCTAGGAGATTCTCATGTAGTCAATCTAATTAGACTAACATAAAAACTCCTAAGTCGGCTCTGATACCAAGTAGTCGATCAAGACTACAATCAGTCTTGAATTCAAAAGAAAAAAAAAGAAGAAATTTCAAAAGAGAAGACGAGAGGTAGAAAAGAGAAGAAGCACACAAAGAGATTTTGAAAAGAGAGAGAGGGTTGATCAGTTTATCCGCCGATCCACTCTTAATATTTATATATGTTGACTAATTGTAAAAGGGCTGAATTGCCCTTATTGCTTACATGGCAAATAAACTAATAATAAAGCTGTAATAACAAACTGAAATAACTACCAACTAACACTGACATAACTAACAAAAATATGCTGCCATACGAACACAGTGGGGACCACAGCAGTGGGGTCCACATCAGTGTTCTCTACAAGAGAGAAGAGGAAAGATCTTCATATGGTGTTCATTGATCTAGGAAGGCATATGATAGAGTTCCTAGAAAGATAATATGGTGGGCCTTGGAAAGGAAAGGGGTTCAAAATAGGTATATAGACCTAATTAAAGATATGTTTGAGGGGCAGCAACCAATATTAGAATACCAATGGGAAAGACTTCAGATTATCTATTTGCACTGATCATAGATGAATTGACTAAACATATTCAAGAGGAAGTTCCATGGTATAAACTGTTTTAATTGATGAAACTGATGAAGGATAAATGCAAAATTTATCTAATGGACAATTGCCTTAGAAAAAAGAAAAAAGAGGTTTTAAAATAAGTAGGACTAAAACAGAGTATATGTCCTGTAAATTTAGTACTAATAGGAGTGTAGATTAGGAAACACATAGGATTGGAGACCAAGAGGTAACTCAATTGAATTTCTGGTACCTTAGTTCAAGAAAATGGAGGGTGCATCTAGACTGTTATTTGATAGGCAAATAACACTTAGACTAAAAGGAAAAATCTATAAAGCAGTTTGTAAGGCAAAAATGTGAATGCTAAGATGGATGGGTGGAAAAGCTAGAAATGATAGGATCATGAAGGAAGTCAATAGGAACATAGGAGTAGCCCCAATAGGTGATAAAATGAGAAAAAAATAGACTAAGATGGTTTGGTCACATGCATAGAAGAGCATCAACAGCACTAGTTAGAAGAAGTGATTCATTACAAATTTAAGGGACTAAAAGGGCTAGGGGTAGACCAAAAATAACATGGGTACAAGTAGTAAGAAATAGAACAGATTAGCAAAACAGGATTCATATAGCCGATCCCATATAGTTGGGATAAGGCGTTTATGACGATGATGAGACTCTGTCTCCATCTTTTTGTCTTCAAAAATTGTGGTAATTCTTTCATTCCATATACCCCAAAGTGCTGCAGCCTAGTACACTGCTAAAGAATCTTCTTCCTTTTTGTATTGCAAGGCCATATATTTGAGGCAAACAAGCCCATAAGTACTTCTTGCCAATGAGAACAAGTGGTTCCAAATCTTGGCTGCATACTTACAGTTACTAGAAGATGGTTAGTTTCTTCCCCATTTTCTATGCACAAAATGTAGACATGGGGAAAGAGGCACCAGTTTGTCCACTTCTTTTGATGTTTTTCACAAGAGTAACTTGATTTGCAGCTTCCCAACAGAAGAATTTTACTTTCTGAGGAATGGGACCATGCCAAAGAGCTACACAGGGCAGAATCTGAAATGGGGTTTGGGTAAAAGGTGCTGACTCTCTTGAATCTTTCCTTAGCCCAAGGTTCGCTACCATTGGTGGTAACTAAGTCAGACACAGGCTTATTTTTTAAGGTAGAAAGGTTATAAATTCTAGGGAAAGCTTGGCTTAAAGTGGACCCCCCACCATAAATCCTTCGAAAACTTCACCTAGTTACCAGAAATTGGGTCATTCCTTATAGTTGCAGGAAGGTAGGAAGCAAAGACAAAATAGTTTTCCAAGGAGTTTTTGGCTGTGATGAGTCCCAGCCATTAGTGTCCTGTGCATAAATGCTTTTTATGACTAAATGCCACAAAGAATCAGATTCTAAAGGAAATCTCCAAAGCATTTATGCACAGCACACTTATGGCTGGGACTCAGTCATTAGATGATCCTTCCCATTATTTGAATCCCACAGAAAGTCTCTAATAATGTTCTCTAACCTTTTCAAAGCCTTCATAGGGGCCTTAAACAGTGAGAGGAAGTACACAGGCCCAAGGCTTAATCTTACAAAATGCTTAATGGCCTAAGGCTTAATGGCAGCCCCAAATACTCTCCCTAGGATTACCACCCAGTGGCAACCCCAAATGCTTAATGGCCCAAGGCTTAATATTACAATCCAATCAAGCTGCACACTCTTCCAAATCTTCCATATTAAGACCCACCAAACCACAATTGGCTAAATTAACTTTTAAACCTGTAACTCTCTCCACCAGTCCCTGAATTCTCTTAAGACTACTTAGATCCTGTGGGCCTGTATATTCCCCCAAAATTACTGTCATCAGCAAACTGCAAGTGGAACACTAATTGATTTTGTCTACCCACCCTAAAGCCTTTACCAATATTCCTTTCATCTGCTCTCCTCATCAAGTTTGAGAAAATCCTTCCAATAGAATACCTTTATTTTAGGTGGAACCCAGCCCATGGATACTGCCTCCATAGGAAAAACCAAGCATGATTTTGGGGATGCAGACAACTTATGGAAGACTGAGGCACAAGTGTAGGACCCATGGGGTCCAGAACTCAAATTCTTTTATCCCCGTAATAAGATTAAGAAAAAATCCTTCCATACAATTTGTAATATCAAAGACAGTAGACACTTCACTATCTCTTTCTAAATCCAAAATTTCAATTAATCAAACGATTAGCAAAGGACGCACAATGGCTTATAGTTTTATTTTTGTAAGCAAGTAGAGGTTTGAGAATCTAGTCATCAAAAGGGTATGGCCCCACGACACATCCTCACACAGTCTGATCTTTCCCTCAGAGGACATCATACCTGATGAAATGAGAAAAAAAAAACTGGTAAAAACCTGATGGCCTTCTAAGGGGGACTTTGGCAGATAATCCGGCTTCCTGTCCAACGGCTGCAAGTCCATGACACATCCTCACACAGTCTGATCTTCCCCCCAGAGGACACATCATACCTGATGAAATGAGAAAAAAAACTGGTAAAAACCTGATGGCCTTCTAAGGGGATGCAAGGAGGAAATTGGCAGATAATCCAGCTTCCTGTCCAATGGCTGCAAGTCCAGGTGTATTCGTAACCATGGCAAGCAACACCACCTTTTTTTTCCACATACAAAGAATGCCATTATGCCATGTTCAAGTATATTCTGATCTTCCCCTCAAACATTTTTGCACCACTTATGCCATGCATTAATTCCCTTCATAGTACCTTTTTTTTGCACTCCCCCTCTTTGTGTTTTAATAATTGATTCCACATGATAGACGATACAAAATGTTCTGCCAAGAAATATACTAAAAGTTTATTAACCAGTACAATATAATCGAACAATCATATTAAGGACTGCTATTCTTGCATTGATATTTCAAACTTAGATTCTTATTAAAATATCAAACTTTTAGATTTTTCAATCTCTTCCAATCAATTTGTTCTTTTGTGTTTCTCAGTTGGAGGTTTACCTAGATAAAAAAGTAATATTTACAGCAATGTGTGTGAAATACTTATGTAACATGATAGGAAAATATAGAAAGGTTCTGACATAATTTAATCCTCTATTTTTATCAGTGACAGTTCAACAAGATTTAAATCCATACCTCTAACTGCAGTTACTATTTTGGCTTTAGAAAACTGAAAGATTCAAATGGGAGATCAAAGAGTTCACAAGGACAGATGGTACTAAACTGGTTTCAGAGTTAACAAGGACAAATGCTAGTAAACTGGGTAAAACAATGTCTGGAATAGAATTTCTTTTAGGTGGCCTTGGTTCAATACAGTATCAAATTCAGGGGAAGGTGGATAGCCTTCCAGTTAATAAAGGCAACAGCATTCAAAAAGGGGGCAGAGTCAGCGAAAGAAGAAAAAGGTCTTGAGGTGGCTTGAGAGCACCTTCTCCTTTCTTCTGTGCTCTGCTTTTACTTTTCTTTTATAGATAGGTTTTTGGCTTTGGTGATGCAATATTCATGTACTTTTTCTGGTTGTTATTATTATCATTATTTTTCCTGGGAGACTTGCCTGTTGGCTGTTTATCTTTTTATCTCTGTTGATTGTTAACGGGATTTGGGCTTTGTAACTTGTATGTTCTGGGAATTTAGTTAAGACTTGGCATAGCTAAGTGGTGCTAGCCTTGTTTTTTGATGTTTCTGGGAATTTGTTACTTGCTTCTATTCCTTTGTCATCCCTCTTCTATAAGGTATGAATATTATACTTGCTGAAAAAAAAACTCAAGTATTTGACACATCCATTAAAATAATATTACAGTATTAGGACTTAATAGTACAATTCCATGCTTCTCCTATCATCTTTCCATAATATTCAATTGTACAAAGTAAAAAAAAAAAAGCATGCAATACCGTCTTCTTCAAAAGATGAAATGCATACCTCCCCCAATACCGTCTTCTCAATACAGCCTTTTACTATTCTCGCAGATTTCACATTGTCATCACACTCAAGTGTGGCAGTGATAATGGGTGTACTGATATTTTTGGCTCCATTTATTATTTCCTTGATGCGAGGAACCCCAAGTGTGACATCTGATGCCAGGTTAATGGATCACATTGAAATTATTGGAAAACATTCACATTGAAATTTTTGGCTCTATTTATTATTTCCTTCTCAGAGCTAGACATAAAATTCACAAGAAAATGATTTAACAAGTAAAAAGGTCTTTACCATCATTTTTCTGTAACCAATGAATTTTCAGGATATAAAACAATAAATGTCTGAATTTAGCTATCCACTATGATGAGTTCGCAGATGGTGCACCGTGCACATGCACAGGCTTGTTTTTTATCAGTATCAGATCTATTAGAATCCAACCTGCCTTTGAATTCTGTTAAAATGGTAACAGTAGAAATAAGAGAAAGAGAAGAGAAGGAAGAAGAAGAGAAGAGAATAGAGAGGGAGAAAAGTCTGGTTTGAACAAGAGAGAAAATCAGTCTCTCCATTCGGCCAGAACTGTTTTATATTTCTATTAATCAGGAAATGACACCTTTGCCCCTACTTAAGTGAGGGACACAAGAACTAACATAACTTTACACATCAGCAACTTAAACATAAGCATAAAGACAAAATTACCCCTACAAAGTCGACATTAACACTCCTCCCTCAAGCTGGTGATTATATATCATATAGTCCCAGCTTGTTACATATGTAGTCCACTCTTCCCCGACTCAACCCTTTGGTAAGCAAGTCTGCCCATTGATTTCCTGTGTTAACATATGCAGTATCTATCACTCCATTCAGCACCTTCTCTCTCACAAAGTGACAATCAACTTCTATGTGCTTGGTTCTCTCATGAAACACCAGATTAGAAGAGATATGGACTCAGCCTAATTGTCACAGTTCATTGGAGTGTCAACAGTGTATCTCATCTCCTGTAGAAGGTTCCTTAGCCACACTAATTCAAAAGTAGTATGTGCCATAGCTCTATATTCTGCCTCTGCACTGCTTCTTGCCACAATTGTCTACTTCTTACTTTTCCATGTCACCAGATTACCCCCAAGAAAAGTACAATAGCCTGTAGTGGATCTCCTATCAGATATAGAACTAGCCCAATCAGCATCAGTATATCCTTCTATTTCAAGTTTTCCTCCACTTCTATATATCAGATCACGACCAGGAGCCCCCTTTAAATACCTCACAATCCTTAGAATTGCATCCCAATGTGGAACACGAGGTTTCTGCATGAAATGACTTATCACACTAACCGCGAATGAAATGTCTGGCCGAGTAATGGTTARATAGTTCAGTTTACCTACTAGCCGCCGGTACCTGCCAGGGTCTTCAAAATCTTCACCTATATCGCTGCACAACTTAGTGTTTGCTTCCATATGTGTTTCAGCTGGTTTAGCACCTAACAATCCTGTTTCTTCCAACAAATCAAGAACATATTTCCTCTGACACAAGTTAATACCATGCTTAGACCTTGCTACTTCTATCCCCAAGAAATACTTTAGTTTACCAAGGTCCTTTGTCTGGAAGTGTTCTTGCAGAAAGGTTTTCAACTTATCAATTCCCACTTTATCATTCCCGCTAATAACAATATCATTTACATACACCACCAATAGGATCTTTCCAGCCTAAGAGTCATGACTGAAGGTTGAATGGTCAACTTGGCACTGTTTCATACCAAACTTCTTTACCACTTCGCTGAACCTACCAAACCATGCTCGAGGAGACTGTTTAAGTCCATAAATGGCCTTCTTTAGTCAGCACACCTTACCATCCTCTCCCTGAGCAACAAACCCCGGTGGTTGCTCCATATAGACCTCCTCAAGTAGATCACCATGTAAGAAAGCATTCTTGAAATCAAGCTGATAGAGAGGCCAATCATACATAGCAACAAGAGATATCACAACACAAACTGAACCAATCTTAGCAACCAGGGATAAGGTCTCTGTGTAGTCAATGCCATAGGTTTGGGAGTACCCTTTGGCAACTAGTCTAGCTTTCAGCCACTCTACACTACCATTAGGTAAGTACTTAACAGTGTAAACCCACTTACAATCGACAGCCTACTTACTAGGAGGAAGTGTTGGTGGGGTCCCATGTATGATTATGAGTTAGAGCGGAGAGTTCTTCCATTGCACGACGCCACCCTAGAGAGGCAAGAGCTTCCTGGACATCCTTAGGGACAACGGAGGATAACAAGGAGATAAACAGGCTATGGGAAGCAGAAAGGTGAGTGAGAGAAACATAAATAGAAATAGGATGAAGGGTACAACTGCGTTTACATTTTCACAAGGCAATGGGAAGATCAGGTTCAGCCACTGGGGTTGGGGCTGGTAATGGGTACAACTGTCGGATCTGTCAACGATGATGGAGTTGGAGGAGCTGGTACATGTTGGCGATGTGTATACACATGACGAATAGGTGGTCGTTCAACAGGTGGTGGCATCGGAAGCAAAGACTTGGTCACAACTGGAACAAGTGAAACGGAATCCTCAACTGGAAGGGAAGAGGAGGAGGTGGTGAGGAGGAAGAAACATCACCAGACCCCAAGAAAACGGAGTGAACTCAAAGAAAGTAACATCAACACACACAAAGGAACGTCGAGAACTATGATGATAACACTTATACCCTTTCTGAGTTTGGGAATAGCCAAGGAAGATGCACTTAATGGATCACTCATCTAACTTGTCCCTTCCCGGTCCCAGATTATGAACAAAACAAACACACGCAAAAACCCAAGGAAAAAGAGGAAATGGAGACAAGGTAGGAAACAAAGTGGTGAATGGAGAATGACCATCAAGGATAGACGTGGGCATCTGGCTAATCAGGAAGCAAGAAGTAAGCACAACATCACTCCAAAAAGGTTTGAGTACATTCATGTGGTGCATGAGGGATCGAGCAATTTCCAAAAGATGACGATTCTCTCTCAACCACCCCGTTTTGTTGTGGAGTGTAGGTACATGAAGTTTGATGGATAATGCCATGTTGGTCCAAATATTCTTGAAATGATGTAGAAAAATATTCACGACCATTATCGGAAAGAAAAATTTTAATGTGAACACCAAATTGGTTGCAAATTTTAGCATAAAGTTTTTGGAAAATGGCAAACAATTCACTTCTTTCTTTCATTAAATAAAGCCACGTCATCCTTGAATAATCATCAACAAAAATAACAAAGTATTTATACCCATTGTATGACATTACTTTATAAGGACCCCAAACATCTGAATGAACTAAAGAAAAATGACTCAACATACGTTTATCAACCCTAGGACTAAAGGGAACACGATGATGTTTCCCCAATTGACACGACTCGCAATCCAAAACAGAAAGATGACTCAACGAAGGAACAAGAGACTTCAAAACTTTCAACGAAGGATGACCAAATCGATAGTGCCACTGGAGAGGAGAAAGAGATGACTGGAGAGTTGTTGTCGTACTTCCACCACCGTCAAGATAATACAATCCACCATGTGATAATCTGTGCATCTTCTTGTTCCCAGTCGTCATACACATGAGAGCCAGTAGAGGGTTTTTCGTCCCTTATGTGTTTCACTTTCTTCTTTGCCTTAAGAAAAACTTCTACTGATTTTGCCCAAGGTACATAATTTTCTCCATTCAGCTTAATAGAGGTCATCTGAACATTCAGGTAGTCAGTAAGGACCATCACACTAGTTTTACTGTCATTGTTGTCTCCCATTGCTGAATTTAGTTATTGCTGAATTCTGCACATTGCACACTAAACCACACTGCACACTGAACCACACTGTTCTCAGCACTTGTTATTGCTGAATACTGCCCTCTCTACACCACACGACTACCTGAAAACTCACCACACTGTTTGAGGATCACTCCCCCTTCAAATCACACTGAAATTTGCATAAACCCTAACACACTACAATCTGAATTCCCACCATATGATCTGAAACAGACACATCATTTGATTCACAAAAAAAAAAAAAAAAAAACTGCATGAAAAACTTTTTACCTAATCACCAGAAAATCATACTATACTCGACACCCACTGCATCACACGAATCAGCCCTCTTCTCTTCATCGATTAGGGGAGGGTTTCCTACAAACCACAACAACCAACCACGAACTGCACGACTGGAGGAATAGAAACCACCAAGGGAAGAGGGCGATCACTCCTTTTCAGTCCCTTCCCTTATCTCCAACTGATGGCGAAGAAAACAAGAGAAAACCCTAGACTGGGTGCGTGAGGAACAGAATTCTGGGCAGTTTCGATTTGCTCAGTTAGGCTCTGATACCATATTAGAACCCAACCTGCCTTTGAATTCTGTTAGAATGGTAACAGTAGAAATAAGAGAGAGGAGAAGAGAAAGAAGAAGAAGAGAAGAGAATAGAGAGGGAGAAAAGTCTAGTTCGAACAAGAGAGAAAATCAGTCTCTCTCCATTCGGCCGGAACTGTTTTATATTTCTATTAATCAGGAAATGACACCTTTGCCCCTACTTAAGTGAGGGATACAAGAACTAACATAACTTTACACATCAGCAACTTAAACATAAGCATAAAGACAAAATTACCCCTACGCAGTCGACATTAACAAGATCCAATGAGAATTTTATTGCTGAAAAAAGAGGACAAAAAGTTGTTTATCTGAAACAATTAGCAAGACTGAAAGTACAATCTTGAAAACCCAAACAAAGCCCAGATTACACTTTCAATGCCCATGGAATCATTGAGGATGCATTTGGGAGTGCTTTTCCTTTCTAAACAGGCTAAAAGGTCACATGCATACACTCAATATTGATTTACCCAAAACATACAAGATATGAGCATTTTATTTTAGGGTTTTACTATTTAAGCATAGAAGAACTGAGGGGGTTTTTTAGTAATAAATACAAAAAGAAAATATATTAAGAAAGAGAGCAGAAAGATGCAATGAGCACATCACCCAGGAAGAAAACCCATCTACCAGCCACACTCCCAAAACCCTCAAAATACAACAAAAAACATTGATAACACCTCTTCAACTGAAAATAGAAGGAAAAAACACACAACCAACCCTAACACAATACTTTTCAATACACTACTAACAACATCATTACAACCACTCAACATTAGGCTCTGTTCCCCCAATAGTTGATAGAAAACCAGCATAAATTTCAGAATCAAGGGTTTTGAGTGATTGCAATTTAACTCTCTCTCTCTCTCTCTCTCTCTCTCTGCGTATCTGCATATACACTTTCTCTTCTATCATAATTTTTTCTTCTCTTTTCTTTTTCCTGTAACTAACAAGACAAGGGTTCTGCTCCATACATTTTCCTTATTTTTGTTATTAATCTATCATTCTCTTAATAGATTTACGGGATTTGCTTTTTATTTTTTTTTTATTTTTTGTTATTACTCTCTCTGCCCCTTCTTTGCATTCCCTTACACTCAATACCTGAAAGTTAAGCACTTAAGCTTCACACTTTTTGTAATAAATGATGGTATGGAGCATTGCACTAGCAATGGCATATAAAATTACAATTATATGTGCAATTGCATGTAAGATGATCAGTCTCAACATTCTACAAATTAAATCTTTTGTTTCTTCTATTGAGCTCGAGTCAAGAGCTCCATCTAGATATAAAAACTCCCATGGTTTAAGATGCCCCTAATTTCCCTAATATTTCCATGACATATTTCCATTCCATAGTTAGCGACATGAAATTTTACCAGAATTGACATTTCCCCAATGAACACAACCAACATTATGTGGAGATAGTTTCCACAACATATTTCCATTTCCACTTCCACTTCCATGGGTACATGAAATTTTATTGGGATCCAGTGTTTTAAAAGGCATGGGAGGCGTACACTTGGAGGCGCGCCTCTAGGCGAGGCGCTCCCAAAATGCCCTGAGGCGTATGCTAGAGGCGCTAACACCTCTGAGGCGTAGCCTCTTGCGCTTTTTTCATGAGGCATGCTAGAGGCATACGCCTCATGCGCCTCATGCACATCTGATATAAAAAGACAGAAAAAAAAAGAAAAAAGAAAAAAAAAAGGAAAGGAAAAGAAAGGGAAGGGAAAGAAAAAGAAAGAGAAGAAAAAATGAGAAAAGGAAAGAAAAGGAAAGGAAAGGGAAGGGAAGAAAAGATAAGGGGAAAGAAAGTGGTTTGCCCCCTTCCACTTAAGGAGGCTTACACCTCCTTGTGTTCGGGAGGCTTATGCCTCTTGCGTTCTAAACTACGCCTCATGCCTCTAGGTAGTGGAATGCCTCGCGTCACACCTTCGCGTTTTAAAACATTGTTGGGATCAACATATTCCTCAATGAACACTACCAGTACTTTGTGGAGTAATAATGTTATAACATAAGTTGGCGACAATATTCCAGATTTGTGAAGTAATAATGTTATTTTACGCCTAACTTACATGATAACCACCTTGAGCTAGCTCAATACTCATTTCAGACATGAAGTTAAATATTAATTTTTTGTTTGTGTAATAGATTATATGGTTGATCTATTACAATCATTTACCTTTTCTATGAGTTTAAATTTTGCTTTAACGCATTCTATTATGAAACTCTGAATCTTAAGATTTTCAGGGCAACTTCAGAATGTATTCTTTTGTCCATAACCTTAGTTTCTTAACTTTGATTAATGATTTAGAACAAGATAGTGATTTAAAAAGGTGTGCCTATGCTTGTTTTATCATTTCATAAAATGATTATATGTTTTGCATATTTTACACAGTTTCCACTATGTCTATGATTTTTACAATATTTCCAATATGATATTTCTGACATTTCAAATATGTTCTTATATTTGGATGGCCGACATTTCCACTGACATCGACATTTTAAACCCCGAAAACTCCTACCTTAGTGTATTTAATAAACTCATATTATATTAATTCCATTGACATTTTATTTCAGAAAGCTTGAGCCCGAGCCCATGGGCCTAAAATTTTGTCCAAGCCCGATAAAGAACGGTTAGGCTAGGTTTATTTTTTCCTACCTACAATGTAATTTAATAAACTAATATTATATTAATTTGGTAATAATTTAGTACTCATATATATTGATAAATTTTATTATATGCAATATTATCGAGGCAGGCATATTTGAGAAAGCCTGAGCTTGCCCCAAAAACTAGTCAGGCCTAGTGCTTAGAGCCTGAGCCCTAGCCCATGGGCCAGCCCATATGGAGATCAAAATCTTAATCTCAGAATTGGATTTCTTTAAATTGTATCAAAGGAATATCTAGGTGGTGAGCTAAAGAGGGGGATTATGTTTGAAAGCAAGGTTCAAAGTATCAGAAATTTTAAGAGACGTAATGGGATATGCCTTGGATACACGCGTATCAAAGAAAAATTAAGATATGCATGGAAACACTAATAAATACTTAAATAAATCATAAAAATACATCAATAACACTAAATATAAGCCCTCGATGAGGTAAACATACATTAAATTAATATATTTTAATGGGTTTTATGAGGAAATACATCATAATCAATTATAATTTCCATTAAAAACCCTATGCTTAACTATAATTTATAAACTATAAATCTTATGTTTTAAGGGGTGGGAAAAGCCCACCTATCCTATCCAACCATAAGATATGCTTTAGAACAACTTTTAATTAAAAATGATTTCTCATTTAAATAATTACTGTCTATTTTTTAATTCAAAAAATTACAAAAAATCAAATATAAATATACATTGTATTTTAATTGCTCTATTAGATATGATAGATCATCCATAGGTCTACAATATATTCAATTTTTATGATTAGGTCATAAAATTATAATAATCATTACTTATTTTTGAATTCTGAAAAATATAAAAAATCGTAAGAATAATTATTGAAGAAGAAATTACAATTGCTCTATGGGTACCATACATCATTCATAGATCTACAACATACATAATCTTTAGGGGCTAACCACAAGAAAAAAAAAATAATATTTTTTATTTAATTCCAAAAATCAAAGAAAATTATGGTACAAGAAATTTCAGTTGCTCTAAGTATATGATAGATCATCCATATATCTACAACATATTAAGTCTTTATAGAATGATAAAAAATATATGTTTCAATTTTTTGTTTTTTTTTTTTATATTTTCCCAAAAAATAAGGTAGATCAACATAGATTTAAACATTTTCAAGCACTCAATCAAAAAAATAAACAAGAAATCACATGAAATTATGAGAAAAATTGAAAAAAATCACATAGTTTTGCAATATTTTCCAAAACTTGAAAAATCTTCAAAAACCTTGATGGTTCACACTAGTTTCTTGCATTTGTTGGAGATATAGCACTCTAGGAATGAGGTTTGGAGTTTTAGAATCATTTGGGGGGTGAAAGAAGCCTTCTTCCCATCCCCTATTTTTTTCGTTTTCTGCTTGTATGTTTTTCACAACATATTGTCTGATACGCCCAATACATTGTTGATACTGGAAAACACAGGTACAATACGGTGGAAAAAAGACAATACCACCAGTTTCCCACCATATCTCGTATTGAGCATTCAAATATAAGATGTGACAAGCCCTATATTGGGCGTATCATGTCGAACTTCTAAACCATGTTTGGAAGTGCTTTGAGTGGCTTGGTATGAAAGGATGCAGGTTCCTAAAATTAGAAAATCTTGAAAACTAGGATTTTAGTGGGAATTTTTTAAGGCTGTGTTAATGGGATGAAAATGATCAAAATATGGGAAGTTTTTCTCTTTAGAGAAAATGTGTTAAATCAAACCCTTATTGGATATTGAATGATGTCTCTTCATTGTTTCTAGGTTTTTGGAGGTTGTTGGTGGATGAACTAAGAAAACTTGGAAGAAAAGATAATAGAGAAGAAAAATCTAAGAAGCAGAAGATAATCTCCACAATTCATAGCCATGTTTTTAAATTTCACACATATTTATTTGTCTTTGACAATATCTTTGAAATTTTAAATACAACTAATATGACTAAACAAGCTAAACTCTTAGGCTGGGCCAAGGCATGCAAATGACCAAAATAACCCTATTAATAAAAAATGTCTATAAAGTTCCGATTTTGATTCTTTGGCTTTTGCATCACACATTCTCCTCTCAGACTCTTTAGCCTGCTCTCCTATATTTTCCCCATCAACATTTCCAATGATTTGTTCCCCATCAACTCCAAACAATATGTCCAAACCATAAGGTTTTCATAATCATACCTACATAATGATTGCAAGCTTGTACTATGGTATGAAGGATTGTATATGAAAATAATTGGCTTCATTGAAAGAGGAGCTAAAATCAACAGTGCAGGGAAAAAAGAGCTGCTTCTTGTACCATATGGTTTAGAGTTAGCGTTAATTTTGTAAAAAACATTTATTATTAATTTTGACAAGCATTAGTCAACAAATTGGCAGCATAACAATAACGAAATAGAAGAAAAACAGAATATGATGATCAATCAATGAATAAAGGATACTCATGCTAGCAACTCCAGCAAAGTGGAAAGTCTTTAATGTCATTTGTGTCCCAGGTTCTCCTATACTTTGAGCTCCAATTGCTCCAATTGCAGCTCCAGCTTCAATTCTTTTTAAATGGTAACGTGAAATGCATGTCTCTAAGAAAACCTTCCATATAAAAAAAGGCATTTGGTATTAAATGCAAGCCACTAGAGTGCTACTGAAAATTAGACATTATGCAATTATTTTTTAAAGAGTTGCAAATAGAATGAAAATACAATGTACAAAGGTTCATGGTTAGCATTTACTTGTTATACATTCCAAATTGTATAATCTTTAGGAATAAAAAATGCTGTTTTTGATAATAAGAAAATTATGCAAAAACAGAAGAAAATAAAATACTTGTATGGAAGCACAGAGGCCCAAACAAGAGTTAAACAAATATTGAGAGATGATTTGAAGTGCTGATACATGGTAGTCAGACTGCAGTTATCTTTTGCACCCATAAGAAGAAGCAATCTGTTGCAAGGGGCTAGAGGGACTAGGGGCAGACTGAAGGATATTGGTTGTAGTAAGAAATGATTTAAGCAGTCGGAGTTTAACAATGACATGGCACTAAGCAGAACAGAGTGGCGAAACAGGATTCATGTAGCGAACAGAATGTTGATGATTGCTGTTATTAGATTTGTCTGTTAATAATTTTTCATTACAGATAACACAAAGTTGAAGGAAAAAAATGAATATTAGATTTTACCTTTAGCTGTTGGGTGGTAATGCCAGATATATTTGCAGCAATATGTTCTAGAATGTCAGAATTATCCTTCTTGGCATACTCTTCATCAAGTCCAAGTGCTTTCCTTGTGTTCCTCAAAATACTAATGCGATTTTGAATGAAATCCACTAGTAGTTTCTTGAAGGCACTTGAGCAACCCCCATCAGGGGTCATATCATATCTCGAGATCCTATCATCAAGAATTTTTACGATTTCTGAAGGACACAAGCTAGCATTTGTGCCACTAGGGCAAGTAGCCTGAAAGAGTCAAATAACATATCCTTGAGGTGGCTTCTTACAGAAGTTCCTGATTTAACCAAACAAAAAGAAGAGAGTGAGGGAGAGACGTGACCTTGGTTTTCAAGTACACTCGCTCCAAATTTAGAGGAATCCCCTTTTTTCCTTCCATGTTTGCTGGATCCAAGCCATCATCTCCATAAAGAAATTGTACTACCCCTCCACTAGCATTTCTTACTGTGTCATCATAATAAACAGCTAGGTCCTCCAAGGCTTTAATCAATCTACGAGACATATAGCCAGTGTCTGCTGTTTTCACCTGCATTAACAAAACAATCCATTAATCACAGAATTTAAGGTCAAATTTTGATATTGAATTTCCTCACTATCAGGTCCCAATGCAAGAGTCAAACATAAGCTTATGGTTGGAGAAAGAACACCAGTGTTGAATTGAAAGCAGAAGTGAGAGCACTATAAGGATATAACAAATGAATTCTTTGAGTTCGACTCAACACAATACTTAAGTAATGTGATCAACCCTATGGAAGATGAATATGGAGAATTCTATTTGAATGAACCATGTTGTATTGCCTAGATTTCCTCATTCTTTACCAAAACACTTCAATCTTTCTTTTAAGGGTTTGGAATATATTCTGTTGGATTTTAATCTCATTAGAGATTAAATCAAATGGGGTTTGATTGATTAATTATATGGTGTGATTGACTAATCACACTAGAACCAGTTCTTGAAAGCCTTGTCCCACATTGGAAATCATTAAACAAGTTTTGAGTTTTTAAATAGTAGTTTGTTTACACTCCTTATAATTATAAGAGGAGAGTATGGAGGCTTGCTACTGTTCCCGTTTGAAATTGTGACTGTACAAAGAGCCTTTTTTGAACCAGCACCTTCCTCTTCAAGGTGACTCTTCAGAAATTATACAAGGAGTGTGAATCAAGCAAATGAATACACAAGTTTTTCAAAAAGTCACTCGTCTCTCTCAGTTCAATATGCTACTGTCTCACATAAGGTTTCTTCAAAGAAACGTCAACTTTGCTGGTTGTAGATTCTCGCCCAAAGCTCTATTCTATCCAAGGAACAAATTTTCTTGTAGCCCAACAGCAAACTCAGTAAAACTGAGTGGGGGCAAATAACGTTTTAAAGACAATGTCTTTAGGCACACCTCAGAGCTTCTCCTCTAAATTTCTGTGACCCCAATTCCCAACATATTGTCAATTATTTTTGATAGCAAAGGGAAAGCATTATAAAAATGAAAATAAAGAGAGATACAAACTGAGGTGATGGGGCCATAGTTTTCAAGGCGCCAAGGCAAGACTAGGTGACAGGGGGTGCCTTGTCACCTCGGTGATGGATTTTTTTTTATGTTAAAAATATAGATCCTAGGGTAGTTCCTTGGGATAAAGTTCATAAGAAAACTTTATTCATAAGAAAAGAATAAAGTTCATATTAAAGTATAGAAAATCAACATATACATGAGAAGAAAAAGAAGAAGGAAAGTAAAATTAAAAAAAATATATATAGGGGCTGAACCTTTTTTGTTATAGGAGAAATAACAAAACACCCTGAGGCGTAGGCTCCAGGCGAGGCGCTTCCAAAATACCCTGAGGCATAGGCTAGAGACGCTGACACTTCTGAGGCATATGCCTCAGGTGCAAGAGGCATACGCTTCATGCACGTATTTCATGAAGCATGCTAGAGGCATATGCCTCATGTGCTTCATGCACACCTCATTTTTTTTTTTGAAAAAAGGTAAAGTAATTTATTCAGAATAAAAGAGGATTACAACAAGGCCCATACCACTAGATCTACCTGAGCCAAAAACAGATTACAAGTACATCCATGATTTAGTGCAAAACAAATGAGATACATTCTGATTTTTAAATTCCTCATTCACCGACACCCAGGAACAAATCTTACCCACCGCTTTCTGCACTACTGGGCTTTTGGGTTGATCACAGAAGATTCTGTTGTTTCTTTCAGTCCAAATGGACCAAAGAACAGCTTGCAGAATGGTATTCCAAACAAGTTTTCCTTTCTTACTGAGACCCTCCACTCTCCAACACATTAGCAGCTCCTTCACACCTCATATAAAAAGACTAAAAAAACAAAAAGAAAAAAGGAAAAAAGGAAAGGAAAAGAAAAGAAAGGGAAGGGAAAGAAAAAGAAAGAAAGAGAAAAAAAAGAAAAGAGAAAAGGAAAGGGAAGGGAAGAAAAGATAAGAGGAAAGACACTAGTGCTATGCATCTTTATTCTTCTTAATATAAAAAACTTATTAAAAATAAAGAAAAACTGAGATCCCCCCTTAAGGAGGCTTACACGTCCTTGTGTTCAAGAGGCTTATGCCTCTTATGTTCTGAACTATGTCTCATGCCTCTAGGTAGTGGAACGCCTCGCATCACGCCTCCACGTTTTAAAACATTGAGTAGTACTACTACTTATTGGTTCAGGTTTTGAAGTGTTTGAGGGTTCAATACAGAATTTAGCAATGTTTGTGTTGATTAAACCCTAATAAATAAGAAAATAATAAAAAGAAATTAGTATATAAACATAAAAAATGATTATTTTAGTTTAATAATGTTAATTTTATAATTATAATCTCAAAAAAGAATGAACAAAAAAGTATTTTATAATAGAAAGTAAAAAATTGCTTGGCAATTAGGCAAAGCGAGCCTCAAAGAGCACCTCATCGCCTAAGGCGCCGCCTTGAAAACTATGGATGGGACATCACCAAAGAAAACACAAAAACTGACATCCCATTCCACAACTGTTAAAAACATAGACATCACTCATCAAGACCCATAACTAAAAAGATCCTCCAAAGAGAAACCCCCACCCAATACAAATTGCAAGAACATACTGCCAACTATTTTCAAGACTAAACAAAAAATCAACCTGCAAAATCCAAAAATATCCAAGACATTGCCGATATAACATAAAATACTCAAAAGACAAACCTTTTTGATCAATACTTCCTGCTCCACCATCTTCAAGACACCTTAATACACTTCAAAAAAGCTCCACCCTATCACCCCAATATTGTAAATTTTATATTAGATGCATTCCCATTTTTCTTGGGATCATGCATATCCGCCAATGTGTCTTCATGCAAATAATTTTGTAACATCTTCTCTTTTCTTCTTTGAAGGCTTTTCAGCAGGAGAAATTATCAAGAATTGGAAAGAAGCTGCTTATTCAGCTCCTCTTAAATGTGACTATTCCACTTTGGTCCCCTCCAGCTATTTGGGTTCATAAATTGAATTTTGATGGAAGTAGTCAAGGCAACCCAGGCCTTTAAGTATAGGAGGAGTTTTATAGATGTGGAAGGAAAACTTCTTGCTATGTTTTTCAGTCCCATTGGAGTAGGTGATTCCTTAAGAGCTTTTTGTGGTTCTGGAAGGGATAAGGAGGGCGAAGGAATTAAATATTAGAAAACTGGTTGTAGAAGGTGACTCAATGTTGGTCATTTTTGGCTTGCTACAAAAGGAAGAGAATGGGCTCTGGAAGTTTACAAATGAGAAAAAAATATGCAAAAGGCTAACTCAGGACGTGGAAATGAAAATTAAGCTTCAGTGGATTAAGAGAAATGCAAACTCCCTTGCAGATGCACTTGCGATACAAGGGGAGGAAAGAGCTAATATTTTTTTTGGCAATGTTGTAATATAAGTTCTATTCTTGGGGAGGGTTAAGAGATTTTACCCCTCCCCTTCCTCTATTGTAATTGTTGCTCTTAAATCTTCAGTTATTTATCCAAAGAAAGTATCTTCCCATTTCTTCTATGGTGTGTTGGTGGCATGCTATCTTTGGCATTGGGGTTGTTTATGATAATTGTACATCTTAGGAGTCTAAGCATCTTTGGGCTGGGGAAAGCAGGTGAGCTTTATTATTTTTTACCATCCCCCTAGCCTTGAGTATCTCTCCTTACTCCTGCCTATAAGCTTTTTACACCACATATGAGAAAAAAAGCTAAAAAACAGAAATGACAAACCAAATGATTGGTAATGCACATGACTATTTAAACAGACAAAATCAACCATACCGCTGTATCTACAAGACCTTCACGCCCTCCCATTGTATGGAAGAAAAACTCAGTTGCTGTCAAACCAGTGTAGAAAGAATTAGCAACAAAGCCTTTAGCCTGCAACAAGGAAATCATATCCCCCCTTCAGTTCTCCATGGCTATATAACATGCAAGTTTAGTGGACATTCAGGATTAACAATATTTGGAATATGAGCTGTGGTCGTTTTGTTAAATGATAAAGAAACGTTGCATTACGCACATTCAGATCAACAGAATAACTGAGGAATCTTCTACAATAACAAAGAAAAATAAGAGTACATGTATTTCTCATATCATATTCAAAATACAGATCACATGCCTATCTCTGATAATTAAGTACTATTGTCACATAAATACATCATTCTGTGATATAAGGTCCTGTTTTTCTAGACATTTCTATTCTCATTATAAATAAGCTTACTATTTAAAGTGCAAAATGATGTAACGTAAGGGGCCATTATGTAACAATGGATATAGCATTAAATAGAGTGAAATGGCAAAAGTGCAAAATAGGATTCGTTCTGTCACCTACAAACAAAATACAATCAGCTAAAAACTGAGAACTAACCAACAAAGTCTTGAAACTATACCGAACAATCCAAATTAGAATACAGCCAAAGCCCCTGACTTAAGCCCCCCGCCCCCACCTCCCCAAAGACCAAAACCTGGCAATCTACCCCACCTGAGCAGCCTCCTTCACAAAAAAACAAAAAATAAATAAAAAAACAAAAATAGACACCCCAAGCCTTCCACAGTTGAATTAAGAAACCACTTTCTTTTTGCTTGAAAGCTCTTTTTGTCTTCTTAATCCTCTTGCTAACTCCCAAGGTTTGAAATGTCGGAAATATTGTAAAAGTTATAGATATGGTGGAAACATTGTAAAATGTGCAAAATATAGAATGTTATTTTATGAAATGATAAAAGAAGCATAGACACACCTTTTTAAATTATTATCTTATTCTAAATCATTAAACAAAGCTAAGAAACTAAGGTTATACATAAAAGAATATATTCTAAAGTCTTTTTGAGAAGATCTTCTTGTAGCTTTAACAGTCAAAAGACGCATTGAGTTTTTGACATAAGATCTGGGCAGCCCGAAACTGTTTGGCAGACGCGTGTCTTTCCGTGCATCGCTTTGGGTCTTTCTGCACAAGATTAATACACGAAAGACGCGAGAAGCTTCATTTGGAGCTTCCCAAAAATCAGCCAGAAATGGGCTTCGGGTGTCTTTTCGGCACCTTGTCTTTTGGTGGCTAGATCTTCCACATGCCAAATGGAAATAGACCGATTTTCAGTCTTCCTGACTTGTAAACAGCTGAAAGACCGCATGGAAAGACGCGCCAAATGGGCCCTAAGTTAAAGCAAAATTTGAACTCATAGAAAATGTAAATGGTTGTAATATAGATTAACCAAATAATCTATTACACAAACAAAAACTAATATTTAACTTTATATTTGAAATGAATATTGAGTTAGCTCAAAGTGGTAACCATACAAGTTAGGTGGACAATAACTTGCAAATTCACATACCTACAATATTGTTACCAAATTATGTTATAATACTTTCTCTTGTACTCCACATAGTATCGGTAGTGTTCAATGGAGAATATATCAATTCTAGTAAAACTTCATGTTGTTACCCATGGAAGTGGAAATGGAAGTATGTCGTGGAAACTCTCTCTTGCACTCCACATACTGTTGGTAGTGTTCATTGGGGAAATGTTGATTCCAGTAAAATTTCGTGTCACTACCCATGGAAATGGAAATATGTTGTGGAACTATTAGGGAAATTAAGGACATTTTAAACCATGCTAACTCCAACCCCAAATAAACCCCCGTTCAGTCTAGCAAACACCTTCGAAACTGTTTCAGACCTGTTAAACTTTTGGTGCCTAAATCTTTTTTTTTTTTGGCCTTCGGTAGTGCTTAAATCCTTTAACAGCGTTAGGAGGACCTTCACAATTCTTCCTTTCCCCATGAAACTCATTAATCCTTTCAAGCTCTAAGACTTCATTCTTCTCAAACATTCGCAAAGGCCTTGCTTCACTCTGAAGTCTGTCATTCTTCTCCACCTCTACCTCTGCAGAGGCAACACCAGAACTCAAAATGACCTTCTTGCTAATCTTCAATAAATCCACCATAGTTTTCTTTCACTTCAATAAATGCTTTCCTTGCAAAATCCTCTCCACCCAAGAAAAATAAGCCCAGCACTATACTTACCTCCACCTCTTTGTTAATAACCATTTCCAGTTCCAGACAGCTTTCCTTTCAACTTCATGATTCTCACCCAGCATAAACGCTTCTTCCTTCTCTTCATTTCCCATCTCCAAACCTTCCTTGAGAGGTTTCGTTCTATATTTCTTTTTCTTTGGTAGACCTTTGTACCATTAATCCCATTCCCTTCATTTCCCCTCCCTCCGCTCATCCTTTTCCTGCTCCTCCCCTGAACTATCCTCATCACGATTTGCTACCTTCTTTTGAAATCCTCTCCTCCCCTTCCCTTTCCTTGCCTTCCAATCAGTGTTTTAAAAGGTGTGGGACACATACACCTCGTCTAGGTGAGGTGTTCCAAAAATGCTCTGAGTACACCTCAGGTGCAAGAGGTGTGTTAGTGGTGTTAGTGAAGGGGTATTTCGGTCTTTGTACTTGTTGAGAATGTCGATGTGTACTGTTATGTTAGTTTGAGTGCCTCTTACTTAAATAAGGGCACTTACGTCTTTTCCAATAAATTAATAATATAATAACAGGTCTGGCTGAATCTAGGGATAACTTTTTTCTCTAATTCGAACCAAACCTTCTCTCTTTTCTTCCTTCTTCTTTCCTCTCCTACTTCTTGCTGTTTACTTTACTTTACAGTCAACGAACAAGACAGAATTCTAGGGCAGGTCGAACTTCAACATGGTATCAGAGCAACATTAAACAAATCAGACTTGCTAGAATTCTGTTTTCTGTGCATTCGAACTAGGGTTTCTCTTGGGTTTCTCAGCTGTGAGTTGGAGACTGGGAAAATGACTGAAAAGGAGTGATCGCCCTCTTCCCTTGGAGGTTCCTATGCCTCCGGTTGTGTCGGTGGTGATTGGTTGCTGTGGTTTCTAAGCCCTAATTAGAGCTGGTATGTGTGGTGCACGGGTGTCTCATTCCTTCGTGTGGTTGGCCTTCAGGGGATGAGGTAAAGTTTTTTTTATGCATATTTTCTGTTATGGAATACATGAGAGGTGTAGTACAGTTCGTATGATGGGTTTTCAGATTGCAGTATGC